TAATATGCTCCTCTGCTTTAGATTATAAACCCATGATGATTCAAGTCACATAATTAATACTCTCTTAACAGCCCAACATCTATTGTATAAACATGCCTAAACAAAGATATTTTACAACTACTCCATATATTGTACTCCTTATAAGACTTTTGAGGGAGTATAATAGAATACAAATCAAAGTATATATTTAAGGCTTAATATTGTAGTCAGAAATAGTATGGAGTATAACAATATGTATGTAGTCACACAAGAGGATAGATATAATAAAAAATTTAGAAGACAAATACTTCTCATGATAGATTTAATTCAGTAATTCTATATAGTATACGAGAAATATTTTTCAAAACACCGCACATGTATATAGATAATGAACAAGTTTAGATACTAACATGTTTCTTGATATTTTCCACCAATGCCTCCACCAACCACCTCCTTTTCCACCTCCCCCATAGCCTCCACTGCCACCACCCTTACCACCATGTCCCCCTTTAGAGCCACCTTTCCCCACTCACCCCCACCTCCTACATGGCCACCCCCACCCTTGCCTCCTTGCTTTCCACCACCACCACCACCACCCCCTTTGCCAACTTGTCCTCCTCCAGAGCCACCTTTCCCTCCTTGACTACCTCCCCCTCCTCCATAACCGCCTTGTCCTCCACCCCCAGCGCCGCCTTGACCACCCCTTTACTTCCTTGTCCTCCTCCTGAGCTACCCTTTCCACCACCTCCATAGCCGCCTTGCCCTCCTCCACCACCTCCTTTGCTTCCTCCTGAGCCACCTTTTGCTCCTCCACTACTGCCTTGTCCACCACCACCTTGGCCTCCTCCCGAGCCTCCCTTTCCTCCACCTCCTCCATAACTACCTCGTCCCCCTCCACTTCCGCCCTTCCCACCGCCACCTAGTCCATTACCAACTTGTCCTCCTCATTATCCTCTACCCACTTGTGACCTATCATTGATGATTCCCCCATCCGCTATATATACATGCAAATGACATGCAAGGTCAGTATAATTAAATTAATTTGTATTGCCTCTTGAAATAGCAATATTACTTTAATTTACTCTTAAAATTACCCGTTGATTCTTTATCATGGTCTTATAATTATAAGTTTTATAAAAGCTCATTGTGCTTAAGTAGTAAGAAATACGAGTAGTTTCTTATTGAAACAATACTGCAAGCAAGCTAACCTTTTTCCGTGGATGCCTCAGTTACAGAGTTACTATACTTATTAGATTCCTCATCTTCATCCCCTGCGAAAATTTAAGTATAATATAATCTTATCATCATATTAGTACACTCACCGTCATCATAACATAACAAACTACCCCTTCCGTAACACAATAATTAATTTATGCCGCTTTAATTTTGCACAATATTTTAACGTGTGATATATGTCACATATTTGCTCGATCTTCCAATAAGATAACTTGAAAAGAACTGAATTACCATGCAAAAAGCCAAAAAAAGGCTCCTATTTGAGAGTGATAGCAGATGTTCATGGTGAATACTACTTATGACTTGAGAATTATGTTTAAGTTTTGCAGAGCATTAAATTATGGACATGCAGAAAGTATTAAACAAAACTATACAATTAAGAGTACAAATTTTGTATTACTGTATTATTATTTGTCCAAAATAATTTATAGTAATCTCCATCTCTTCGTACTTAATAGGAATACCAAGACATTCCTTTTAAAAAAAAAAAAAATGGCTAAACATATATTTGGCTAAATAAAAGCTTTCTTATAGTAAAAGTGTTATAATAACTCATTATGTAATCTTCTAACAATATATGTGGGAGCTATCCCACATAGAAAGATTAGAGAAGAATGTATTGGTATAGTTTGTAAAATGTTATTGTACTTTTGATGATGTCAACATTATACTAATTTGTTTGTATCCCACATTAACAAAATAGAATGGGCTTGTAATGTTTATGTTACTTGGACCATTTTATTTTGTATATTAAGGAGTCCCACATTGTTAGTTTAGTTTGGTCATTGGATATTTATAATGTGTTTGCATTTTTCTCTATAAATAAAACATGATTATTTTTTCCAAACTACATTCTTCTCTTCTCTTCTCTTTTATTTTTCCTTTATAAACGTTCGTCGAGTGTAAATTGATTTTTGCAGTCATAAACTCTAGTATCTTAGGGAATATCTTGGAAATATCTTTGCCATCTCCCAAGTGCAAATTTAGTGGGGGCAAATATTACTTTAATGACAGTGATTCTTCACGTGCCTTTGATTATTTCCTAACAAAAAGTGACAGATAAATTGAAACATAAAAGTAGTTAAAGCGAAATATATCTAGATAGAAATTAGTAATAAAGGGAGTTTATAATGAAACTTCGTAACATCTTACAAGGCCTACATACCTTACATCAAAGTAAGAGATAAGATCAAAATGACATAATTAATTTATACTCCGAAATCATAAATTTACAAGGTATTAAAGCACAGTGACAACTATTTTCGATCACAGGGCGTGCTAAGAACATGGATGCATGATTAAATTGGGATTATACTGAGTTAATACTTACGCTTATGTACTTCATTAGCTGTGTTGCTATCGGCTACAGCGGTTGAACAGATGAGAACTGCGAAAGTAAGTAGCCCTACTATAACATAAGCCTTAAACTTCATTGTTGTTAAAGATACAAACTGTCAAAAGTTAAGTTTATTTTTAGAAAATCTAGTGTTTTTTACTTATGATATTACACTGATTAGGAGTTTCCTAAAATTGCAAATTTATAGAGGAAATTTAAGGGACAAATTTGTGCTTGGAATTTTGGTGCGCCGCATAAAGTTTTTGGACATAAATGAACCGATCAATATATTCAACATAATTTCGGACTTATCTTATAATGTTTTAGTGTTCACAATTATATTGAGGTCAAATTTTCATTCATTAATATAAAGGAATTAAAAAAAAACTATGTAATATAGAGTATGTAATTATGTATGTACCATGTATGAGCTCCTAACTACAAGTACATGGGAAGAATATCAAATTTGTAAGGAGTAGTTAACTAATTTTTATATCTCACAAAAATACTCAGTTGTTGCACTTAATTATGTAAAATCAAATGTAATATTACCTCCGTTTCACATTCTATGTAACAATAAAAATTTTAATATCTCACAAAAAAAACCCCAGTTATTGCACATAATAATGTAAAATAGAGATAGTAAGTAAAAAAGAAATAATAGGAGTATTCCGTAGTTAGATTAAATCAAGGGAGTTATTATATCATATAAAACGTGGCGAAAAATCCCTTGTGAAGAGGTTGGGCTGGAGTGATGAAGGGCAGCCAGGCCTGAAAGTGTCACGCTACAATGTCATTCTAATTTTGATAAGCTTCATTTATGATAAAATCATCCAAATCGTTGGTTACAAAATAAGTCAACTCTTACATATATCCAAACATATATTACCTAACATATCTTTCTCCATTAAAGTACCTAATATATCTTTCTCAATTAAAGTACTTATACGAAGTATAAATGAGGGTGGAATACGTACTAGAGATGTCAAGAAATCTATAACAAGGTGACCTACATTAGTTGAACGATAAGCACTATTTGCTTCTTGATAAATATGTTTAATCCAATGCTTGTGATCTGAAATGCCGGTGAAAGACATTTTGTTGAACTAAAAGTAGAGAACATACTAAGTGTTCACCCGTGTGCATAATAGAGATTCTAATGACTCATTATTCTAGATGATATAGTACATGTTAAGAGTAATCCATTATATTTACTGATTAATATAAGTCAAATTGTTATTGAGTTTCTTCATATCAATTCCAAAGTTTATTCTAAAATTATTTTTTAAAAAACTAATTGGAATATCCTTATGCTTATGATGAAAAAAATTTACTTCGTATTTGTTCAGTATTACAAGATTTGATCAATGGTGAAAAAAACTTCTTTGTTTGAGGAAATCTCATCAAAATAAACCATAGAATAATAGTTACATATTTAACCAATTGTTATATTTATTCCAACAAGAGTAAGTAGTAATTCTTCGAAAAAAAGCAAATTAAAGAGAACAAAGCCTACGATATTAGAATAAAAAATGCTTCATTTCTCCCAACTTTTATCAAGAACTTTGTAATATTATATTTTTAGTTACTATAAATGGTTGGCATAATGTAACTAATACTTGTACAATTTTTCTTTTTAAGTAAAGGAGATAATTATTTGGACTTGTAATGCATTTATTCTTTTTTGAATCCTTGTGCTTTGTTTTTGAAGGGGCCAAAACAAGCTAAGAATAAGACATTGATACAAAGTAGTGTTTCGTGGTGGCAAGCTTGGGCAACTCCATAGCTAATTTTGGTGATCCCACGACAGCTAAAACATGGGGATTTAGAAGTGTAGCGAGTTTTTTTTCATGTTTTTATTTTTTGTTTGGTACTTTAATTTGCTATGAGGGTTTTGCTTGCAAATTATTACTTCCTAAGCTAGCTAGTTCCTATATTTCTTGAAATTTAGGACATTTTGATTTGGGCTTGATTGATATGAAATACAAGAAACGACATAATATATATTAAAGTACTATATCGGTTTCTATCAATAATGATTTAACTTATCAATTTCATCTTCTTTTCCGTTAATACTAGGAAGACATTGTTCATTTCTTAGTGAAATTAGGTTCTTATTAGCATGTATAATTAAAATGGTTGGTTGCAATAAGAGTTCTCATAGCAAAATCTCTTTCTGTCCTTGAATTTACATAATGCTCATATTCAAAACTATGGTGATAAGTTGGTTAATTACTTCTATTCCTCGGCTCCAAAGATGTTCTTAATTTGCATTGTACTCTTTCAAAATTGATGGTGATAAATTCGTTAGCTTTTTCCTCTAATCTAAAGTTTTATATCGCCTTCATAAGGCACCGCGCTCTATCCTAATTTCATGAGATTAAGAAGATAATGAAATTAAAGTACTAGAGAAAGTCTCATGCATATATATAAGGGTTACGTTACAAGATAGTATTTTTCTTGACAATCTCTTATTCGATCTCTTCAAGTCTAACATCTATATATACTACATATACTGATATACACTATAACTACGTACTATAGATACTTAACCCCATGGTGTGCCGATCACGTCGAAGGTTGTACGATTTTAGCACTTGAACCCTCATAACATCGATTATCCACCATGTGTTTTATAAAGATTCCCTGAACAACACAAAAACATGAAGAAAAAAAAAACAAATTAATTCATTTACTCTTATATAATAAATTTATCAGCAACTTAAATTAATTACATTACAAGAATTATATAATCAATAACTTTTTACAAAATTATCACTCCATGATAAACTAGCATGCAAAATTATCCATAGATGATTAAAGGCACTTGCATCAGTGGTTGCATTCAATGTACAGGACCTCCCCTACTTTGAGGATTGTCTTCTTAACTTACCACAACAATGCTATATTGCTATATAAACCTCTTTAAATTCAAAAGGTACTAAACTTGCAAGGGAAGAAAAATCAAGAGGATATGCACTTGCCTTCGTACTTAGTTCAATCCTCCTCCTCCACCACCACCACCTCCTTTGCCTCCTCCGGAACCGCCTCCTCCTCTACCTCCTCCTTGGCTACCTCCTTGTCCTCCACCAGAATGACCTTTGCCGCCTCCTTGGCTTCCTCCTGATCCACCTTTGCCTCCCCCTTGACTACCTCCTTGTCCCCCGCCAGAACTACCTTTGCCTCCACCTTGACTACCTCCTTGTCCTCCGCCGGAATGACCTTTGCCTCCACCTTGACTACCTCCTTGGCTTCCTCCGGAACCACCTTTACCTCCTCCTTGACTACCTCCACGTCCTCCGCTCGAACCGCCTTTGCTTCCTCCTTGACTACCTCCTTGTCCACCACCTCTTCCTCCTCCTTGACTACCTCCTTGTCCACCCCCTCTTCCTCCTCCTTGTCCTCCGCCACTTCCTTTACCTCCTGCTCCTTGTCCTCCACCTTGACCACCTCCTTGTCCTCCTTGTCCACCGCCTTGACCACCCCCTTTACCTCCTTGTCCTCCACCTTGACCACCTCCTCTTGCCTGATCAATATCAAATTCTTCTTCTTCTTCAAACCCTCCTCCGCCTCCACCGCCTCTTCCTCCTCCTTGTCCTCCGCCACTTCCTTTACCTCTTCCTCCTTGTCCTCCGCCTTGACCACCTCCTTTACCTCCTTGTCCTCCGCCTTGACCACCTCCTTTACCTCCTTGTCCTCCGCCTTGACCACCTCCTTTACCTCCTTGTCCTCTACCTTGACCACCTCCTCTTACCTGATCAATATCAAATTCTTCTTCTTCAAACCCTCCTCCGCCTCTCCCTCCATGTCCTCCGCCTCCCCCTCCATGTCCTCCTCCTCCCCCTCCATACCCACCTCCCCCGTGTCCTCCTCCACCATACCCACCTCCTCCATGCCCTCCACCATACCCACCTCCTCCGTGCCCTCCACCATACCCACCTCCTCCATGCCCTCCACCATACCCACCTCCTCCGTGCCCTCCACCATACCCACCTCCTCCGTGTCCTCCACCATAACCACCTCCTCCGTGTCCGTTAATGTCTATAGCCTCTTCTCCACCACCACCACCGCCTCCTTTACCTCCTCCGGAGCCACCACCTTTACCTTTTCCTCCTCCTTGGCCTCCTCCTGAGCCACCTCCACCTTTTTCTCCTCCGGAGCCACCACCTCCACCTTTACCTCCTCCTATACCACCTTTACCACCACCTTGACCTCCTCCAGAACCGCCTCCAACTTGATTGATGTCAAACGCGGGTACTTCATCTTGTCCTCCGCCGCCGCCGCCTCCACCTCCTTTACCACCACCCTGGCCGCCTCCCCCTTTGCCACCTCCTTTGCCTCTTTGGTTAATTCCTTCCCTTGTGTCTTCTACAATCTCCCCACCAACTGTGTACGTACACATGCATGCAAATTATTATTACAATAATCATTATTTAAGTATACATACAATCTAAGTCATATATAACATTACATTATCACTTAAATTTATTAGTTACTAAAATTAAAATTCCACTAATATAATTGATTTTAGAACATATATAATATAATAAAGGACAAAAAACATAATCACATAAAAATGCATGCTCACCTTTTCCAAGTGAAGAGATGAAGAGAGCCGAACCAAGCAAAAGTCCTAGCAAAATAAACGTCTTGAACGTCATTATATCTTTTTTTGGTAATGTTTTAATGAAATATATAAGTAATATACTTTACTAAAATGGTAATAAAGCCAATTTGTAGGCCAATATTTTTGGGTAAACCATGATTAATACAAATAGAGTAGCGTATTACGTCATGCAAGTATACACTCTTATCGGGATATTATCGTAAAGTAATTACTACGGAGTATCTTAAACTATATTTTACAATAATTTGACAACTTTTTCTCACATCTTAAAATTATTTATGAATGGATCAACTTGTATTTAGACTAATTCCATATATCTAAATAATGGATCATAAATAACGTTGATTATTATTATTATTATTATTATTAAAGGAAAGATATATAAAAAGTTAGATACGTCTTCTTTTAATAGTCAAGATTTTAACCCTAATTTGTCAAATAAAAGAAAATAATTAAGAAAATTTGCTATCAATAAAAGGGTTAATAAATAAGTCGAAAAAAACTCACGAGGAGTCCAATATATCTGACAATAATAATCTAATATTTGACAATAATATTTTAATATATGACATTAATAATCTAATATTTGACATTAATAATAATCTAATATCTGACATTAGATTTTTAGATTATTAATGTCATATTAGATTTTTCATGTTAGGTATTAGATTATTAATGTCAGATATTAGGTTATTAATGTCAAATACTATGTCAGATATTAGAATATTAATATTATATATTAAAATATTATTGTCAGAAATATTGAACTTACGGTGAGTGATTTCACGCAAAAACTTCTCTAGATAATTAATTGTTTATAAACACTATAACCTTTATTTCAATAATAAAAAATTACGGAGTATTATTTGACGACAAAAAAGACATGAACCTATCCTAAATATCATACACCATTACATAGAGAAAAGAATTGTACTAGAAATAAGGGTTAAGTCGAGAATGATAAGGCTTAATAAATTTGGTATATAGCTTTCACAACCAAAAAAAATAAAAAAAATGAATAAATAAATAAAAATCTAGTATACAAACAAAGACCCATGCAGTGAGACATGGAGAATTTAAAAGCTACAATCTAAATTCTCTGTTAAATACGGGTCTAGGCCGCACCCGTAATCAAAAGAGAGAGTGCAATTTACAAGTTTAATTTTCATCTCAAAACCATATGGCAATAAAAGGGGTAGCTAGCCTCTTAACCTTATAATAAAGTACGTGTTTAACTCTCTCAACTTTTCTCAATGTAGGACACTTATATGTATTGTTTGAGAAATCAACTTCAGCACTCCCCCTCACGTGTAAGGTCTCTTTAATTCCATCACATGTGATGTTTCATGGGGCTAGAGTGCATTTTTCATTCTCTTTTCTGGTTAAGTATTGGCGTATAGCTGCTATTTGCCATGTAAATAGCAGCTATAAGACAAAAGAGTGGTGAATTTTTTTTTTCTTCTAGTGGTACAAATATTGTACCACTGTTACGTGTAATGACTATAAATACTACTATTAAAACAACTTATATTCTATAAGTATAAAATACATGTATAATAGTACATTAAAAATACCACTGTAAGTATAATAGTACATTAAAAATACCACTGTAGCAATAAAAAATCACAAAATTAAGTGAATTTACCAATTAGCCCTCCTATATGCATCCCAAACAAATAGCAGCTATGTGCCTAGTTGCACTCCTCTTTTCTATTATACGGAGTGTATTTTATACTCCCTTCGTTTTTCAAAGTTCTACTCACTTTTTCTTTATTATTCTTTCGATGAAGCTTTTTATTCATTTTTTACTCCACAGTCCCACTTTGTGAAGCCCAATTTTATTTAATAAATCTCTTATGTTCTATCTTTTTTCTCTTTAATACAAAAGTACCTTCATGGATGATCCCCAATTTCTTTAAAACAAGCTAACATAACATTTTTACAAACAAACAAACTTGTTTGGAACCACATAAACTTGTACCCAAAAAGAAAGACAAAAAGGAAATATGGTAGAATGAGAGCTATTTCTTAAAAGTTTGTATCAACAACGGACTAATTATGTATTAATACATATTCACAAACATTATTATAGTAGTTCAAAAGGAAGTTATTACTTCATTAAAAGAGAAAAGATCTAAAAAAAAATGTTTAAATTGCATAAGCTATCATTAAAAGTTTCTGGTCACATGCGATGATAAAAGATTGGAATTGTGGCATATAAAAGAGAAAATACGAGAGATGTCTATTATTAACTAATAATAACTGTTAAATTAGATTCTATAATGTCTTGGGTTATATGATATTCAAGTTATCTCAAGTCGAGTTGAATAGGGTACTAATAAATATTCGGATTGGGTTGATTAGGATAAGGTTGACTCATGTCACTGGATCTATAATAGTTTGGGATGAATCTGAGTCCGATTTAACTCAGGTCGGGTCCATAATGGTGCTTCTCAAGTTCAATCGAGCTAGTTAGATAGCAATGTCATGCGAAGTTATATTGGATTTTGGGTTATTGTCAGGATAGGTGCGGATACAACTAACACCAAGGGTATGCCTTTGCACACCCTGCATGTTCATTAAAATAAAATTTGAAGTAGCCTTATAGCAAAAAATTAAGTGTAGCTTGTTGGTTTTTCAAGTGTCTCTTATGCTTTTTTGAATTATCACTCTAGTCAAGAGTTCGAATCCATTGTTACATATTTTTCCCAACCATTGTTTTTGCTGACTACAACATGTTTAGATCGTTCATGCAAACAAGTTAGGATTATTGTCTATTAAGTATATAATTGTGCACACCCTATACGTGAATCTTGGATACGCTACTTAGGACAAGTATTAGTTCAGTTTGGTTTACCATTATCAAGTCTACATTAGATGTCGACTTTCTTTCAGTTGGGTGCAGATAAATTTAAGTTTTTAATTTGCTGGTCAATTTGAGAATCTGTCGTTAGATTAACATTACAACGGTTCGAGTCGGTTTTAGAGCCCTTCAGATCGATCAAATGATTGTTAATTTTTGACTAACTCTAATTGTATGTTATGTATGAATATATTATATATATAATAAAGATGGAAGGAAAAGAAAGAAACAACAACGTATATCCACATAATATATATTATGAATGGATAACAACGAATTGAAGTCCATAGAAAGATGTAGTCAAAGAGTAAGTACATACTACATTAAATGCATAATGCTCTACTAAAAAATAATTGCAAAACGATTTTTTATCCCTCTACTAATCTAATTTTTTTAACAAAAGGCTTGGATTTGTCTTAGCAATCAGTCAATTGACGATCATTTATACAACGAACCTTAATTTAAATTAGGGAATTTATCAGAAGAAAGTACATCTTGTATTGGCAGGAAGAGATCATTACAATTAGGTATAGCATATAACTTTATAGTTAGAGGATTTAAATGGGTCTAAAATAAATCAATGAGTGAATTTCTAGAATACTCACTTAAGGTGACTTTTATGCGTAAGAATATATATATATATATATATTTCTCGTACCTTTCTAAATAATTATTGACCTTTGTATTAATTAAAAATTTAACTTTAATGGTCAAATCATATTAATACTGACCTAAATTTCTCCCAAATTCTTAAAAATGAAACTTTGATAAAAAAAAATAATAAAAAAATAAAAAAATACTTATATTGTTAATTTCAATTCAAATTTTCGCCAATGCATGATACTAATGCTGTTACAATTACAACAAAATTGAAAGAATATAGGATCAAATGAAAAAGATCAAATTAACAACATATGTAATGAAACTCTTTCACTTACTTACAGTGAATGGCAGATAGCATTAAATATATATGTTCATGATAATAAATTAGATCTATGATTTCAACATCCAACTACAACTAAACTTTGATCATTAAATTAAATCTGGTACGGTACGTTCCTGCACCATGTTTCCTAGGGCTTGTTATATAAGGTATGTAAATGAACACAATATTCATCATCAAAATTTCATCAAATTATCAAATTTGTGAGTTGTTATTAGTTTACAAAAAAATATGGTTTCTAAGGTTTTTCTGCTATTGTCTCTTTTGGCTATAGTTTTCCTCATCGCTTCTGAGGTTGCAGCTAAAGATTTGACTCAAACTTCCACTAACTCAGAAGGAATTAAGGGTAAGCTAGCTTTCCATAATCTTTCATTTCTCAAAAACAAAATATAAGTAGACTAGACGGGTGATTGTTACATATTTTTCGAGTCGGAGTCATTTTTACTATTTGTCCATGTATATATAACTTTAAATGTCTAATTATAATAACGACTTATTGTGGAGTAGTGTCGTCACATAAGATAATAAGATATGTAGACCTTCGAAACTACTTCTTTCGTTTTATAATAATCGCAATAATTTGATTAACACACGTGTTAATACACAGCTTTAACCATTAATATTTTTAATTATATTAGTAAGAAGTATATTGGTAAAACTAATCTAAGAATATTTTATTTATTTTTTGAGGAGAACTGATCTAAGAATATATTACATGGCATCCTATATTTTTTATATATTGGTAACTATATACTACGTAAAAACATTGTAATAAGTATATGAAATTGTGCAAAGTCAAACTGTTATAAACTTATAATTATTATGAAACGAAGGGAGTATAAATTACCTCTCTAAATAATTCTTGTACAACCGTTGTAAATGCTAAGTAAAAATTAATATTTTCTTCAAAACAAAAATTAAAAATTAATACTTGTAAGCAACTTATATTGACACCAAAACAAAAATTTTTATAAGCAACTTATATTGAAGCCAGACCCATTAGAGTAACTAATATTCATATGTGAACGTAACAATATTTTGCAGATAAGAAAGTTGACACCAAAGTAGAGGATGCCAAGTACGGATACGGTGGATACCCCGGCGGAGGATACGGTGGCTACCCAGGTGGTGGTTATGGAGACCGAGGTGGAGGATATGGAGGCCGCGGAGGATACGGAGGCCGCGGAGGATATGGAGGCCGAGGAGGATACGGAGGAGAATGCGGGCGTTACGGTTGCTGCTACCGTGGATACAATGGTTGTAGAAGGTGTTGTGCTTATGCTGGTGAGGCCGTTGAAACACACGTTGAAAACAAGCCTCATAACTAAGAACTAATAATAATAGGCCGGTCTTTGGTTTGTTTATCATTAATTAAGCTGCTTAATTACTATGTAATCGTATGAGTGGAGTTGTGTTATTATCTAATACTACGTACTATGTACCATGTAATAATGTATGGTGTTTGTGCGAAGTTTAAAGAGAATGTAATATGAAAATGTTTTAATAATGTAATATGCATCTTTCCTTTTTCTATGAGTACTAATAAAGTAATAATAGTATCTACTAGCGCGGCACTTTAATTTAACGTATACCTTAATGATGATTTAAAGTAAAACCATGTTCACTTCACCTTAAAAAATAATCCCTCCTTTTCAATATATAGTTCTTATTTGTATTTTTTCACGGGATTTAAGTAATGGGAGGGAAAAGTGGATGTAGTACATTAAAAGTGGAAAAAAAGTTGGATAAATGTACAAGGCAAGTGGATAATTTAAAGGGGACTAAGTGAAAAGTACAATTATAAACAAAAATTAGAGAGAGAAAGTGGAAAAAAGTACATGGCAAGTGAATAATTTAAGGGTAAGTTAGGAAGTTCAATGAATAAAGTTTATAAAATAAGGGTATAATAGTCTTAATATACTATCGAAAAATAAAAACATGAACAACATTTTGGATCTCCAAAATAGGAAACAGGAACTATAATATGAGACAGAGGGAGTAATATTCTGTAAAAATATCATTTCAGCAAAAATAATTTCAATTTAGTAAAATTATTTCTGTTCAATAAAAATCAATAACTTTAAAACGGAAATATTATAGATCGGTAAAAATAATTTTAGTTTAATAAAAATAATTCTAGTTCAGCAAAAATACAGTGAAGTGAACAGGGCCTAAAATAAAGGTATACCTTGCGTCAGTTTACAAACTATTTGTTCAATAAAAATCAATAACTTTAAAACGGAAATATTATAGATCGGTAAAAATAATTTTAGTTTAATAAAAATAATTCTAGTTCAGCAAAAATACAGTGAAGTGAACAGGGCCTAAAATAAAGGTATACCTTGCGTCAGTTTACAAACTATTTCTCAAAAATAGGATGCAAATTAATCGACAACATTGATAATTATAAGTAGTAATGGTATGATGTGATGACTAAATTCCTGATAGTGTTAGTTTATTGGCTAGAATAGCAAGTGAAGAACAAACGACTTGTGTAATGATATTCTTTTTTTGTAAAGGATACATCATTATCATCATTAATTCCTTGATTTTTGGTCTAATGTATCTAGTTATTGTTACTCATGTACTCCCTCCGTTAAATATTATCTGCAACTGCAGTACAATTCACGGTTGTCAATGTAATTTTTGAAAGGCAAAGATTAGAGAAAGTTGATGCACTTGTAATTAAGGTGGAGAGAGATTAATTAATCAAAACCCACTGCAACCACCAAGACCAGGCAACAGCCGCAAGTCTGCAACACCACCTACACCGCCGCCTTCACCACCACCACTACCACCCCCACAAAACCACCACCACTACCAACTCCACGAAACCACCTCCACCACCCTCACGAAAACCCAGAATTCTAACCTTCCCCTCCACCACCAGCCCTAACCACCTCCAACCCAGACCACCCCACCACCCATGTACCTAGACCCACCCACCACCGTAGAAAACCCCTTAATCCTAACCCACCCACCCCCTATACCCACCCACCACCGTAGAAACCAAAATCAATACCCATAAAATCAAAACCTATAAAATCGAAACCCATAAAATCAATACCCATAAAATCGAAATCAAAACCCATAAAATCAATGTCCACAAAATCGAAACCCATAAAATCGAAAAAAAACCCTGAAAATTCGAACGTAAATCACCCAAAAAATAAACGAATAAAGTACAAAATCAAACCCCAAAGTAGATCCGGCTGAAATTCGAGGAGGAGAGTGAATGGTGGTGGGAGTGGCGGTGGCCGTGACTCGTGAAGGAGAAGAGAGAATGGTGGTGGGAGGGGCGATGGTCGTGAAGGAGGAGAGAGATTGGTGATGGGAGGGGCGGTGGTCGTGAAGGAGGAGAGAGAATGGCGGTGGAAGGGGCTAGAATGGTGGTGGGAGGGGCGGTGGTCGTGAAGGAGGAGAGAGAATAGTGGTGGGAGGGGCGGTGGTCGTGAAGGAGGAGAAAGAATGGTGGTGGGAAGAGATGAAGAGGGTGAAGGTGAAAGAGATGAAAGAGGGTGAAGGTTGAAGAAAGAGATGAATGGGTGGTGGTAAATTAGGAGATGAGTAGATGGGGTGGGTAGAATTAGGTTCATGATTTTAGATTAGATTAAAAAAGGTTATTGTGATTAAAATAAGATAAGGGTAAAATTAAGAAAATTAAAATTTTTAGGTAAGGGTAAATATGTAATTTAAAGGGTTTTTGTTTACTAAAAATAGAAAAAAAAAACAGATAGTTGCACATAACCCTGATCGGACAAAAATGACAAAAGTTGCAGATAATATTTAATGGAGGGAGTATTATATATATTCATAGAATTGCATCAGTATAATATGTTTTCTTTATACGAGTACTCTCTAAGCTTTCTCTCATTCTCTCAAACCTTTCCAACATTGTCTTTCTCTTAACTCGATAATATTTAGGTGTTTGGGAACTTTGATCCATACATAGTTACAGATTGTTAATTTGTTACCCATGTTTTGTTTCCTACTACAACATTCCCATAATTGAAAACCGAGAGTCTATCTTAGAGGTAATAAAAAAATCTACCAAATTGGGCCTTAATATCATATATTGTGCCCAAACCTGCAAAAAAATAGCGAGCTTTTCGGATCGGGATTGGATTCTTAGGCTTTTTCAAACCCACCTTATTTTCGGGTCAGATTAGCGGGTCGAGCCATAATTGATCACCTCTAAACTACCTCTTGTGGTTATCCACAAAGACCTTCCTTCAATCCATTACACTGGAAATTATTATATCCTAAATACATGATACACCAAAGGGTATTTTTTTGCTTATATGATAATTAAAGAGTGCTATTGTCAAAAAAAAAAAAAAAAAAAAAAAAAAAAAAAAAAAAAAAAGAAAAGATAATTAAAGAGAAAAAATCATCAAAATAAGCAAACAATACCTTTAAATGCATCATGGCCCCAAGTATATATAAAAATCACTAGTACTTCGTACCGGTATCAGTTTGTAATAAGCCCACTCCATATACTTATAAACTCCAAGTCATCACTAGTCTTCCTCGACTATGCTTGAGAATTGAGATCTCCTATACCAAAATAGCCAAACCCTCCAATTAACCAATACATTTTCTGACTAATGTTGCTCATGCTCATACATTCAACTAATACAAAATAATTGTAATACGTAGTTGTAGTAGCCCTCCTGAAATACATTAGAATTAGATGGAAGTCCGTGCGATGTACGGATTTTTCATTTAAGATTTTTAATTATTTGATTTATTGTATTTAATAATTTCAGACAAAATTACAAAAGTTTAATTTTTTTTTTTTTTACTCTGATTTACTCCCTCTGCCCAAGGTTATTTGCAACAAAGGACAATATTTCGGACTCCTAGGCAAAACTTTTAGGAGAGTTCTAATTGAGCTTTAGTGGGTTTAATTAAGGTTGAAAATGGAGGGAAAAGGAGTGGTCCCACTTAATTTTTGTTTTGAGTGGGTTTTAGTTAGTGGGGAATAGGTGGTGGAGGGGACCACTAACCAAAAAAGTGGGTAATTGATAGTTAAATATTACCCAAAAAGGAAAGAAAAAAAATTGTTGCAAATAATATAAAGCACCCATTTTAGGTAAATATTGCAGATAATTGCGAGCGGAGGGAGTATAATGAATTATTAAATATAAATAAATTGTAAATATGATATTTTTCCGTTATATAAAATCTTTAGCGTGAAATGATAAATTTTTAATAATAAATCCAAAATCATTATTCATTGTTTTACCATATCATTTATTTCGATAGAATCACCAACCTAGTCCACAACCAACCTACTACATCAATGGATAAATTGAACTGTGAAATGTTAGCCAAACTGAAATTGATATAAATTAAATCATTACATTTATATAAAATAAATCAATATATTTACCAATAAATAAAAAATTGTTGCCATATAAAATCAAAGCTATGCATTGGAATTTTTTCATCATCTCAAAAAATAACCAAAGCCATCCATATATAAAATTCGCTTGATGGGGTTTTGTATTGATACGAAATTTATTTGTGTTGTATGATGTGTTAGATCTGCATGTAAAAAAACATTTATTAATAAAACATAAACATATAATCGTTGAGTATCCCAAATTAATACAATGTAAGTAATAATTAGAAATACTAAAATTTAAACATTGGATTTTAAAAATTAAGCTAAAAATTACCCGGCCATCGATGACCCAAAATTAACACAAAATTACTAACACAAAATTCGCTTGATGGGATTTTTTATTGATACGAAATTTTGTTTGTGTCGTATGATGTGTCAATTTATAATGGTAGGTATCACAAAATTTAATTTAATTATAATTAACGAACAATTTGTATTTCTTATCATAAATACTATCAAAATTTATCTTATAATGATAGGTATCAAACTTTATTATAAGCGTTTATCATTTAAATATTTCTTAGTATATTTTTTTTGAATTTCTTATACTCGTAGTATTGAATTAATAAATTATCTTTTCCTATATTTTTACTTTATTTTTTTCATTAAAATAATTTAATTCGTGAATTATAATCTACGTGGCATTAAAATTTTAGATATATTCGTTACTTTTATCTAGGTGGCAACATAATTTTATAATTCAAAAATAAAATACAAATCTTTCTTCTTATTGGTCGAAATAAGTATATTTCTTACGTGGAGCTCTAAATACTCTCCAAAAATACCTACTTTTTATATATATATAAGCTTCATCACATTGAGAATGTAGGTCATAACTCATAAACTTGGTGCACTATCTGTCTATTGCTAATTATGTTCTAGATCAACCACCACAGCTTTCCTGCGAGCCAAAAACCGCTTCTTGGTGGACACAAACTCAAAAGTAATGTATTAAACACAGGATTCACTGCCAGCCAATCATAACCATTTCACTGGTTTTGCAGCAGCAAGCCAGCAACACAAGAAAAAAATCCTGTTGTACTCACAAGACAGCAGTTGTATCAGCAATATATATTCAAGATCAATGCTTGAGAGATGGCTCTTCAAGTTTTTAGTAGTTGAACCCATATGTTTACGAACCAAAAGGCATTCTGAAATTATATTATAAATTAAAATACTGATACATATCCTAAGAAAGCAAATAAAGACATCCATAAGAACATAGGCTAATGCATAGCATTGCAACATCAAACAAAACTTAATTGTTTTTCTATTGAGTATGTTCCTATCAAAAATGACAGAGATCATCTAGTTGAACAAACATGGAACAAAATACAAGTTAAATGATTCCGATCTTGTTTGCAACGTCCAAGGCATCATAGTCAGGTGTCAAACGAACATACGCCTTCTTGGTGCCATCAGGCCTGCAAAAGGAAATAAATCATAACAATTAGAATGACAGGAAACTTTCAGTAAACCCTAGTCAATGATGACAAGCTATAAATCAGCAAACAGCATTACAAAAACTGCAAGGATGGCACTACTTAGTTCAATTTAAAATTTATGGCACTACTTAGTTCAATTTATAATTTATGGCACTACTGAGTTTCGAGTGATTAGTTTGTCATTTGTAAAAATCAGTGCCACGAGAAAACTATATCGTGAACAGTATGCAATTCTTCGTGATGAATGAGGAAAATAAGTTCTTTCTATAGAAGATACAATTATGTCTTAGTCTCACACTTTTAACCTTACGTGTGAAGAGAGAATCGAAACATAATATTAATGAAACACAGATAATGATATGAAGCAAAGAGCAACAATTTGATTTGCAGAAAAATTCACCTGATCAAGGTATTCACTTTCTTGGCCTGAATGTCATACATCTTCTTGACGGCAGCCTTAATCTTCTTCTTGTCAGAACGGATGTCAACAATGAAAACCAAGGTGTTGTTGTCCTCAATCTTCTTCATTGCAGACTCAGTGGTCAGGGGATATTTAAGTATCTGGTAATGATCCAACTTATTTCTTGGTGTTGCACTAATACGAGGGTACTTGGGGTTTCTGTCCTTCTTCAATGTCTTTGGCCTATGGAAAGTAACCTTGGTCCTGATCTTCTTGGCCTTCTTCTTCAAGGTACTTGAGCCAGATTTCACAGCTTTAGCAGCTTTCAAGGCCTGTGCCTTGGGATCAGCCTTCTTTACATCTGCCAGATAAATGATGTCAGGTATCGTTCAAGTCTTTTAAAGATGTAATACAATTTTATCACAGCTAAACAGAATTTGTGACACAACCATGAGTGCAACTGTCCGGAAGCTCGGAATCGAAGAACAAATAAATAAACAAAATTGAAAATTGGAAAGAGAAATTGCATAAGTAACTAATAAATATAGCAGGGTACATGAGTAATGCACTGTACAACAATCAAGGAAGAATTTTTCCAACACTTACTAACTGATTAAATGTACCCAAAATATTGTCAGCCTTAAAATAAAACACTACCAAGAATTTGTATAGCCACGCAGCTCTCAATCAAGGAGAAGGGACAAACCCCGGTAATAGCAATTAGAAGTTTAGAACGGCAATCTTGGTTTAACACAATATCTCAAGGCTTTTACAGAACATAGTCACACAACTCTCAATCAAGTAGACGGGACTAAGCCCCGGAATAGCGATTAAGCACGGCAATCTTATACTTCATACGGCAGAACACTTTAAAACTTTCTGAACCAAATCAAACACTCAAACTGACATAATGAAATGCATCAACAACGAACGCAGCACACTATTAAGCAAAAACATTTGCATTTAGAACCATTTGATTCTTCTCTATACATAAGATTTCTCAATGTATAGCACAAGGTAGCAACAAACCCATTGTCAACCATCTGTCTAACATTCAATTTGCTATAATTCCAAATAAATTTACCAAAAAAATTGAGCAACAAATGAATAAATGAAAGAAAAATCACAACAAATCTATAGCAAAACTGCAATCATACGAATTCACGAAAGGGCACGAATCGTTAAATACAAAGTTCAGTTGATTAAAGAAACAGCTAGTATTCTAATTATCACTTAACATATACAAAATAGCTAGGTTTATCAACCATAAGTATTGTAATAACTATAATCAAATTGAGCCCAAATTAAATTGATACTGTTAATAATTCATAAATTTGCAAAATATAATCCAATAATTCATGTGTTCCTAGTCAATTATTAACATTAAAATTAGAAATTGATAAGAAATGGAAGAATAATACCTTTCGCAGGAGGCGCCATTGATGCTGTAATAGAAACCCTAAATCAAGAGAAAATCAATGGAATTAATATAGTGAAAATGTGGTAAGATAATTGGTAAAAGTAGCAGAAGATAGAAGAGAGAACCTGAGGAGAGAGATGAGAATAATATACGGCGCGGCAAGTAGGGTTTATGAAAATGAGCTAGGTTTTTTTATTTATATCAGTCTTACAAATCTTACGGGCTCATCTCGTTTGCAATTACAGTAGTTAGTTTTTGTTGGGCTGGGCTACTCGATTGTTGCCTACAAAAACACACACACACTCTTATTTTACTCACTCACAAGTCACAATTGCCATTCAATCTCTATTATTGTCCGTCATCGACTCAATTCATTTCCTTTTTTCTTTTATAGATTAATTGTTTTAATTGTTTTTCCGATAGCTAAACATATAATATTACACAATTAGAATAAGCAATACTAGTATAATAAGGGTGAGAAATAATTCAAGTGGTTAAAGCTCCTCACTCGATTTTACGATATATTAAAATCGATTCTCATCACCCACACAGTGTATCCGTACTCAACATGTAGTAGACACACAATCACATGATGATTGGCTTAAAATTTACTTAAGTATCCCTACTTTATGAAGCGAAATGACGGTATTACTCTGAGATAAATTTCATATGTTTGTCTAGAAAGTTAAAATTTCTCATGAAAAAGTCGGGGGGATAGATTTTAATTTTCCTCTTTGTCTCATATAAAAATCATTAATCTCTCCATCATTTTTTTTAATAGTAAAAAAATTCATTAATAAAAAGTCATACGACATCTACAAAGGAGAATTCAACTTTAACAAATACATAAGATATTGAACCAAATAAAAATTTCATTTATAAAACTACGATCGTCGATTAGATCTTGCACTGTGAAAATACAGTCTTGTTGGAGAGACAATCTAAGGATCCTTTGTAGCTGTGAGGATGTTTTCCTTTTGATTCATCCGATTGTATTTGAAAGCTTGATAACCCTTGCGATCTCGCATAATTTTTCATCAACGAAATAATTTCATGACAATCCATTAGATCTAATTTCATGGATTCAAACTTAAGAAAATTCTCCCCCGAAAAGAGGAGATAAACCTTGTCTTTTGAAGGAGGTTGAAAAACCCTTGTCTTTCGAAGGAGATCGGAAACTCTTTCTTTCAATGAAGAAAAATTCCTCCCAAAAGGAGGAAGCATTATTATAAACCTAAAAAAACTTTTAAAGAAACAAGGATTGGGGCTTTCCACCGGTTAAAACCGATGAAAGCCCCTTCAAAAAACAATAATGAAGGCTAGGGTTTAGAAGAGAGGAAGGAGGAGAGAGGAGAGGTTTCTTTTAATAGATCTCTCCATCATCTTTTTAGTATGGAAATGGTTGTATGCCCTATAATTTAAATAAGACTTGAGATCTCATATACCACAAATTTCATAAATTAGATACTCTAAAATCTTCTTTTTGTTTAGCTGTAGTCAACATTTTTCACATCAAAACTTTGTACAAAATTAGTTTCATAAATTAGATACCCTAAAATCTACTTTTTACTAATAAAACTAGTAACATTTTTCACACCAAAACTAGTTCATATAATTCAAATTTTAGATTTTAAAAATTACAAGTTTGACTCAAATTAGGTCGAACATTGGTTAAGATTTAAAAAATTACAAGGTTGACTCAAAATTAGGTCAAATCCGTGAAAAAGAATGTACAAAATTTATAACTTTTGGCTTTCGCACTGGCCTATAACTTAATCGTGGAGGCAAGAATCAGATGCAAATTTGAAGCATTTGTTCCTGCTTGCGCCTTTTTAACCAGCCCATTGAATAAAAAAAAAGAGTCAATTAACTCTTTAATCTTTGTACTTTGAGCCATTATTTTTCGTCCTCTGATTTTGAACCCGTTTATTCTCTCAACTCTAAAATGTTAATTAAAACTTCAATATATTAATCAACGGTCAAAAACTACTTGACAAGAAAACTTCCACTCGTTTTAGAAACCAAACTATATATATATATGTACGCATGCCATACTTCTCTCTCATCACAACAAAATCAAACTTACAAAGACTAAAACCCAAGTTTCTTTTTAATTATTCCGAAAATTTCCCAATAAGCTTAATATTAACCTACAAGAATGAGTGTGGAGCTCTTGGATAGTGCCACAATCACAAATTTTGTGGAAGACGAGGAGGCTTTCAATAGCTCAATTGAAGACCATTTCGCCCTCCTCGACACCAACCATGATGGAATCCTTTCTTATCCTGAGATGCTCAAGGAGCTTCAAGGTCTCCGTGTTTTCGAGACCCACTTTGGGATTGATGTTAAGATTGAACCAGAAGAGCTTGCCACCACATATGGGGCACTGTTTCTTCAGTTCGACCATGATCTCAATGGGGGTGTTGATATAGAAGAATTTAAGGCTGAGACTAAGAGGATGATGCTTGCTGTGGCTAATGGTCTGGGGGTCTTACCCATACATATGGTGCTGGAAGAAGATAGCCTCCTCAAGAAAGCTGTCGAGCGGGAGTTAGCCAAGATTGCAGCATAGATTATTTCCATTAACATTAAGATGTTTTTGTATAATCAATACTAGTTTACTAAAATTATGAATTTCTTTCTCCCTCTATTTAGGAGAATCATGTTGGACGCAAATAAAATGTATACCAGAAATGTGATAAGCAATTAAGCAGCGATTGAACAGTTAGAGAACAAGAAAGACGTCCCAATGTAAAAACAGGGACTCTTTTCTATGCAACATATGGACTGGAAATGAACTTCTCTTGCAATTACTTGTTAATACCACCCTCAAGCCAGCCAATCACCCCCCCCCCCCCTCCCAACCTCCCCTCTCCAGTTTTTGTAGCTCTAGCGCAAGCTTTTGAGCAGAGTCTGAATGCCGTCTTTGTCAGTCAGGATGCTGTCCTTGTTTTTCCTCCAGTTAAGGACACATGATTATGTACAGAGAGCCTTAAAATTCTTAAAATATCATAAAAACAACGACAACTCAGGAGTGGGAATGAAGGGAAAGATGCTCTCACCAAACAGCTCAAGCATCGATACAAGAACTTGTCCTGATTTCAAGTCATCCTTCCAAACCTGATGCAGGACCGCTGACAGCTTCAGTAACTTTTCATCGCTCTTTTCTCTTACATTTCTGCTGCCTACTTTCTCAGAATCAGTCATCTGCTTGGAGGTTGACGGTAGATCTGAGGCAACACTAGATGATGCAGCTACTTCTCCCTCAGTTTGTTTGACAGAAGGTGAGGTGTTGTTGTCCAGCAAAGGGCCATCAGTAGCTACTCTTTTGAGAGGCGGTTGCTCTTCTGTGTGCTCCATGCTTGCCTTGCGTTTTCCTAGCACCCAAAAAAATAAAAAATAAAAACAAAATATAACAGTGAAAAGAAGTTAAAGCCTCAAACACCTATGAAATCTCCAGTATATGTAAATTTCATCAAATCAGATTTTTTTTAAAAGGATACTACGATGGGGACCTTTTTTAGTTGGAGAGGGCAAGGTGGGTAAAGTGCCACTACATCCCATCTAAGAGTCATAGTTTAATTGTAACACCAAATGTCTAAATAAAGAGAGAATATTGATGCACATCTAATTTCCTCCTTAACCTTTCACTCTAGTATGCATGGGTACAGATTACAGAACAGATGGAAGCCGAAGATTAGACTAAGCAAGAACAAAAGATGACATCTTAGGTTCTCACCAGGCGCTAACATATTGACTTTTTCCTTCTTGCACCAAATTTCATGACATGGTGATGGCAAAGTAGGGAACATTTTGAGTATACCATAAATGCATTGTCCAGCTGCATGCTGAAAACCAATATACACAAGTGATTATGTGATAATTGACTTGATGATACGGAGTACTTCATAAATATAGTCTGACAAGGAATTCTTCAGCATATAACCAGATCTTCATACTGAGTTGAGAAGAAAAAGAACTAACCAACAATGCTCCATAAACTCTCCAAGCCTCGTGCCTTTTCATTTCATTCTTTTGACTCTCAAGAGACATTTCATGTTCAAGAAGCCGCATATATGGCCCAAGATTTGGCAGAATAAGATGCCGAACCTAATAAGCAATGTAAAATGCTCCAATTGTCAATAATTATGTTAAGAGCTGATATCCAAATCCAATAACATGTACTAACCAAAGTTTTGTAAACCACAAAACTGCGCAAAAGAGAGTGACAGATGAAATGCCAATGAAAAACACGTAATAAGTAATCATACCTATAGGGGAGAACTGGGTGGGGGGGTTGTTTATAACCCTAGTTTACTATTAGTTTTTCCTTACAAAAATTCAAATGTTGGGAGGGTGCCAGAGCTCCCACCCATCCCCCCTGTGTTCCACCCCTGAACTCCACCACTGCAGCCCCAACCCCCCAACCCACCTTAAACCTTACATTTAAAAAGGGAAAAGGGCAAAAGGGACATTCTCGGAGGAGCAACAATGAAGCTTTTCTGCTGAGCACAATCAACTTGCAATGACAATAAAAAAGAACATCCACCCCCCCCCCCCCCCCCCTTCCTCAGGAAAACCTACCTTAAACCTTAAATAAATACAAAAAAGGGGAAAGGCAAGAGGGAGATTTTCAGAAAAGCAACACTCTGAATCTTTTCTGCTGAGCACAATCAAGTTGATATTACAACGAAAACAGAGTTTATGAGGCAGAAGCGGTAGTGAAGCATTTTCTCACCAACATGCTTTGCAGCAGAACTTTCTTGTCATCGTCAAGTAATAATGGTGAATATGATGCAGATGATGGATGACAATAATGAATTAATGATAGTGACAATCACCATGCTAATTCCATCTGCACTTATAGATGACTATCCCCTTTCTCCCATTATTCTTCCATTTGGGCTTGGAAGACTTAGAACTAATCCTATCAGTATTTGCAAAACTACCACAGCACAAAGGACATGCCAATTTCATATAAGTACATCATATAATAGTAGCTGCAAATTCACAATTTTGGAATATACCACATTGGGCCCTAGGGCAGCTAATCCTTGAATTGCACCATAGTGTTGAGTGATGGCTCGTTTGGGGTCCAAAAATGCATTTACCAACGTTCTTGTTAAGCGTGGCTGGAGATTGCTATATGCATGCCCAAATCTGCAACTCATTTGAAGTAATACATATGTTAAATTTAATATTTAAGTTGAATACCAATATATTGAATCTTGTCTTTGAATTTTATCATATGACCCTTTCAAGAACTGATAGGAAGGACATGGAGCAGGTAGTCCAGTCCACCAACTAATGTAGGCAACTTGCACCAACTTATTTCTCCCACCAAAATAAATGAATAGAAATATTAAGGCCAACTAGGCACAACAGTTGACAAGCAAATCGTAATTTATGTTCCTCAACGACATCCCAAATCTAGAAATTTATTAAACAGGTCTAATGGTCACAAAAGATATAGGAGGTGTCAGACCAGAATATCTGAATATGAGACACGCATTTCAGCACTTTAGCCAACTGAGCACCGTTATTGAGATGGATGTTACATACCATAACTCTAAGAAGAAAACTAGACTAATAGAAAGCTGAAAATGGTATATATCAGTCATAAAGATGCAAGTAGGTATAGTATGCTTACCTTTTGCAAATTGAAGCAACTAGTTTTGCTGCAAAATCTCTCAGCTCCCAATGGTTATCAGCCAATCTATTGCCTAGTCTTTTGGCCACTAAACAGGAAACCACAGAGGGCATCAACTGATGTAGCTGATTCAAAGAAAAGTATATAAAGTCAACAAATCAAGGCAAATCCTGATGCGTGAATCACCATTAAGTAGCCAGAAAAACATAATATTTTACAATATATTTTCTTGCATGTCCTTAGAATTGCAACACTTTCTTAAAGGTGTCTTTCCCAAAAAAAAAAAATATATTGTAGGCATAAAACATTCTTAAGAGTTGTTGTTGGTGGGGGGGGGGGGGGGGGGGGGACTGTGATGACATGATGTGAAATATGACATAATGTGATAAGTTAAATTATCCTTTTAGGCTTCCCAAAAGGATACTTAAACATATAAAATATCACTTATTATGCTACTAAAAGGGGAAATATGCAAATCTACACTATAACAAGAGTTGGCTCTAGTGGTAAGCAGCTTGATGTCGCTTAAGGGGAGGTCTCCAAATCAAGCCAGGTGTGCAACTCGGGTCGGATCCGGATGTAGTCGGAGCTAAGCTCGAGTGAACCGGGTGGGGCAAACTCATACTATAGATAGTTTAGCCAATATTCTATAATATTGAGCTTTAAGTTGTAACTTGAATTTTTCTTTGGTCTCCTTCAACTAATGGTTTTTCTTGTCCCATCCCAAGCCATTTCTTAAAATATATGACTTTGAAATAGTGATATTTGCAAAATAAGATTAAAGAATAAATATATGTATGCTACAAGACTGCAAAAAAAAAAAAAAATGATACATAAGAGTTGTGTCTTTTAGAATGATATAGGAGGGAAACCTGCAAATTCAAAGGCACACTCTTCACTCCTTCATAATCTTTAATTTCTTCTTGCACAGATACTAAGATTTGTGAATTTAAATTAAATGTGCAATTGCCACCATTAAATCAAATTATCATTTTAGATTATTTGTCAATTTGATACACAGCTCAGTAAGAGAGGTAAATTTCTAACACTGTCTACAGATAACAGATTATAAAATTATTTGTTGAGCAAGCAGCAAGAAACTGAACTCACATAAGGCTCTATTTGTATGTTAGGATTTTTTAGCAGACTACGAACAAGGCGCATCAAAGCAAACAGCAGATTAAAATCCCCTAGACCACGAGCAACCTGGCATAATAGCAGTCAATGTTAGCTGGCACTTTATGATGAAATATTCCAACACAACTTTTTTTCCAGAACATAGAAAACTTAGTACCTCATCGGCAATGAAACATGTAAAGTAGGGGACTAAGGGATGAAGCCCGGCATCAGTTGCCAAACTGACCAATGCTTCTTTGAAAAGAATGGTTTCAGAACCTCTAATAGTAAGCTCTGTGATTTTGTCAAAGTATAGCTGCATAACACATAATTTGAAATATTTAGTAAACAGCATTCAAGATGAATAATATAAGAAAAGAAAACAATTCATATGGCTACCTGAAGCTCTCTAGATAGTACATGCTGAACTGGTACTTTGATGTCAATGGGAAGACTGTCATCCTTACATTCAGACCTTTTCCCGTCAGGAATGGTGATAACTAAGCATAACAAAAGAATGAAAGAAAAGCTTTAAGGTTGAACACTTACGAGCAAGAAAATCTACAACAAATCGAATATGGAAAAGATTGGCATTTAAATTTCACTATGCAAGATAGATAGAAAATGGAGTTAACTTTGCCAATTTGCATTTTTAGTAACTTAGCATGGACAGCAGCTCCCATCAACAATTCCAAGGTGATAATCACCTAGAAAGCGGAATGATGGCCAAGTAGGACTATAAAGACAGAACTAAAGGGATTCAAAACCTTGAAGTTAAGAAAGAACACTAACTTGCATTTTCTAATTTTTGGTACAAGGAGTTCCTACGATACTGAGCAAGTTGATTACAGTATAATAATTTTAGGGAGTTTGTTATGGAAGGCATCTAAATCAACACTGAACTGCAAACATGTCAGACATTTATTATACTGTGCACTCATTCCATATCATATTAATACATGAGCTTTCATTGATTTCCTAGTTCACAACTCTTAACATTTTTGTTGATGCATCAGAATACCTCATGCAGTTGTGCTATACAACAACAACAAAACCTTAGTCCCAAAATGATTTGGGTCGGCTAACATGAATTGTCATAAGGGGTGTGCAAAAAAGGACCGAGACCGGAAACCGGACCGGAATTGGACCGGACCGTTGGATTCCGGGTCGGTCTTCAGTACTCACAAATTGTTGATTCCAGGTTTCCGGTCTGGGCCAGAATGGACCAGAAAATGTATTTTTTCTATTATTTGGTTGAAAATTTTGAATTTTATGTTTAAAAATATCTAAAAAATTTAGGTATACAACTTGTAATTTATAAATTCTAGGTGCAAAATAGGAAAGCAAGCAAACAAAAACAAGACGTTAAAAAATGATGTATACATAAAGATATTAAAATGCAAAAAAAAATAAGGAAATAATATAACCGGTCCAAAACCGGACCGAACTGGAATAAACAGGTCTAGACCGGAACCCGGACCGGTTGATTACGGTCCGATCCCCGATCCTCAAAAACAGGCGATTCCGATTTCCGGTCCCGGTCCGGTTTTGGACCGGTGCACAACCCTAGTCATAAGGAACCACCCAACACAAAAAAAGGGACATAACAAGATAATAAGTTTAAAGAAATTGGAAAAAGGTGTATAAAAGTGAGAAAAAGAAAGAGCATCCAAGTACAAATTAAGAGCTTTTTAAAAGAGAACCAAGAATAAAATTCAAGGAAGTTTTAAAGGAGTGGTAAAAAAGTGAGTTACAAACATAAAGGTTTGAGAAAACTTTAGCAAAGGAAATCAATACGGTTCATGGCAGTCGTGCTATGATACAAGCAATTCATGCAGATCTGACATTAAGAGGAAATAAGGTTGAGTTTTTTTTTTGGGGGGCAACTAGTAAGTAACCATTATACTTTGCTTATAGGACTTGTAATCTTGATATCACTTCAAGAATGATCATAATGCTGTGAAATGTGTACAAAACACACATACAAAAAAGGAGCCTCAGCAACTTACCTTCCACAGGGGCATTTTCAGGAATTGCAGGTTGCACCCCTTCTATGGCTAGCCAATGGCACATGATTGATGTATCAAGTGGAGCTCTTGGTAAAGGAGCTTCAATAATCTACATTATGAGAAGAGGTCAAATAAAATTGGACTTACAATCCTAGCCATAAAGAGAATTTAGGTCATCTTACATCTTTGAAGTCCACATCCTTATCCTCAATGTAGAACAAATCCATGTGCCCCACAGCTTTTTTAAACCGTGAAGGGGTTCCTAAAGCAAAGCCATAAACTGGCTGGGACAAAGAAAGACAGTAGAAATCAATAGAAAGGGGCAGGTCAAAGAAAGCCCTGCAATTAGTGGCTCTCCACCAAAATAATAAATAAAAAAAGGTCACTCGTGATCTTATCAGAAAATCGATAAATGGACAGCTAAGTTCTTTTTAAAAAACCAAAATAATGTACTAATTCATAGAAGAGCAAACAATCTCAAAGTTGCCAATATCACTATTGGGAAAGGTGAAATAATTTTTTTAGTTTATGAACCATGTATAAGAGCAAAGAGCTTTCACGAACAAACACATAATAAAATTGGGGACAACTTGATACCTACCTAATTCCATTAGTAGTTAGGTTCTGCATCTTAACCAAGATATACTGATATAGCATATCTATAGCCTACACAATGTAGAGTGATAAAGTTACCAAAATTACATAGATTTTGAATTAGATATCTTGACACATTTCACTGATATCAAAATAAATTTTTAGATTCCAAGCCTCATAACTTGGCATTGTTGAAGCTAATTCTAAAAGAATAAAGAAAACTTATAAGCTAATAGAAGCTTTGTTCCCCCCTCTAGGAAAAGGATTTGTTAAGTATAACAGAAAATCAGTAATTCCACATAGCATTAAAAATGAAATTATTATATATAATGATTATCGAGTTATAGTAATGAAGGTAACCACCATGTAACATTCACACCCCACACCCCACACCCCAACAACAACAACAACAACAACAACAAAAAATAAAATAAAATAAAGTTTGATAGCAACTAATGTCCACCCTCTATGATAATCATTAGTGTAGTTATCCTCGGGGTCTAAGAAGCCATTTAGCACCAATCATCATGGTTAAATAGCAAGACTATTACATCCTGAATTCCTGATGTCTAAAGTACATTCATTCCCCACTTATATCACATCACGTAATTAAAAGCTCAAACAATCATGAACATCTACCAAACTCCAAACAAGAAGAACAATGAACTTTAACTGCCGTGATAAGTCAATTGAAATTGGCAATGAAAGTCATGAATGTCTTGATTAAATCAAACTACATACAAACTGCAAGCCCCTCTATCCAAACACCTGAAAACACACCTCAACGTTTCTAATGCTGAGTGCAGTATCCACATCATCTGTAGTTAAAATAGTTCTCCTTGAATGACGCATGCATTTAATAGCTTCCTGTCCACAATGGAAACATAAATAGATGCTCGTATAAGAAACTGTAAACAATAATGTAAGGTAAACAGTGGATTAAAAAATGGAAAGCAATTCAATTAGCATATAGAAACCTGCATAAGCTCACGCATTCGGTACTCAACATCTGGAGCAAGAGTAAGTGCAGCATCTACAGAGAGATTGTTGATCCCTACACTTTGTGCTATAACTTCAATAGACTCTTTGGGCACGATGCTCATCTTATTCCTCTTCTATGTTTTATAAGATGTGTAACTCTAAACATTCAGCTCTGCATCAATAATAATAAAGATAAATTGAACTGAACAAATCTTAGAAAATAAGCAATACCTGCTAAATGAAGTAATTCTGATGATTAATCTGAAGTTCGCTTGTTTGCGACAAATCCTAGTTTCATGGTTCGATATCTTACTATCAAAAACATAAAATTTACTTTATTTACACTCTTCCAACTAACTTGTTATGATATTTCATCTCAAATTCGATTAATTTTATTTACAACAGTAGCAAACTTGGCAACATAAAGCATATTCATCAGATACCATCAAAATTTATCCTCTCTTGACTCTTACTATTATCTAGGTATCATTTCCCGACATCAAATATCATTATTGACTTGGCACTTTACCCCGCCATTGAATATCATTGATTTAATTCACATCCTTCCTAACAACCTGGTATTATATCCTGCAACCAAATACCATCATATTATACTTAAACCTCTTCCTATTAACTTGGTACTGCATTTCACCATCAAATCCCATCAATTTGATTTAGATTCTTCCCATTACTTAATCACCAAGTTCGATAAGGGGTGCTAAACCGATCAAATTAGCACAAATAGGAGTAGGCTCGGCTCGAGCTCAATAAGATTTAGCCAGACTCAGCTTGAGCACAAAGCTCAACAAGCCTCAAAAACGAAGCTCGGCTCGGGTGCTAACTTCTAATAACTTTAAAATGGTTCAGCTCGTGGAATCGATTAAGCTCGACAAATGCAACACATTAACAAGCAAATTTGACTCAATACTCAAATTTTGCGCGAAAAATCATATCAAATTCTTCTCACTTAAGAATTTCAATGTAAAATTGCGATATTCGAGCAACAAATTGCGCATTATAGTCTTTTATAACTTCAGTAATTATAAACAATAGCTCATTAATCCACCTTAGAAGAACCCTAAATTAAGTATACTGATAATTAGATTAATGATAGTGTGAAACAAAACCCTAAATTGTGAAATTAATATTCGATTATTTAGAAAAAGATGAAACGTATCACCTCAGAAGCTGCTTCAATGGAGGAGAGAAAGCTCAGAAGTCGCTTCAATGGTGAACTCAGAGTACGCTTCAATGGCGGAGAGGGAGAGACAGAGAGTGCAGCGTAATACTCGTAGTTAAAAACTCCGATCAGAAATTTTGTTAAAAATGAAATGAAACGCATATAATGTCAACCGTCAGATCTGAATAATATCAACGGTCGGTCATTTTGCAATCTAATGAAGTAGATTACCATACCGGGCCCTTTTTTATTACGTCAGGTCAGCTTCCCAAGTTTTTTAAGAATCTCTTACTCCATATAACTAATTTGACTATTTAACCCTCTAAACCAATCATCAAACCACGTTATCTACATGTAAAAAAGAATTATATAAGTGAAAAGCACAAGGTTCAATTTTTTTTTAAAAAAAAAGCTAAAGAATAAACTCAATATGTATTTAATGTACGTGTTACCTTATACCTCATGGGGACGAAAGACCGGTCAAATTCATCTATATAAGTATATTACATGAAAACTATATTGGCAAAAGCTAATGAACGCCCCAGGTGTGTTGGAAAAGCTAACCAAAAATAGAAATATTAAATTAAAATGAACATTAATTACACTGATCGACGCGTGATTTTGACATGCATTCTCAAATTAATACCAGTTTAGGAAATGTTTTAAATGCTTGTCTAACAGATGCCCGGGCTAAATACTAGTTATGGTCATAAAAACTTATTTTAAGCAACAACCAAAGTTAATGTTGAATACGGGTCTAGGCTGCACCCGCAAACCAAGAAAGAGATTCTACTTCACGAGACTAAATAAGGTTTCATCCCAAAAACATATGGCAATAGGTGGAGTAGCCTCTTAGCCTTATAAAGTAATTAACTCATTTTTCTTCAACCAATGTGGGACACTTACATGTGGTGATACTTGAGAGGTCTATTCTTCAACAAAAAAGAACAAATATGAAAGTGGGGGTGGATCGTGGTTTCAGATGTGAAGAAGGTGGAGGTGGCCCTTCGTCCGTGAATATCAAGACAAGTATTACGAAAATGTCATCTGAGTAACAAAATTTGTTACTCAACAAATTGAAGTTTTAGCTTGTTTGTGGTCATTTTTTATTTTCAATTTTCTACTTTTTTGTAGTTGATTTTCAAAATGATTGTGACAAATTTGACCAATTTTTTTTCATTATATAACACATATCATATGATTTTATAAAACAAAAAGGCAACAAAAAGCTATAGCCATACAGAATGGACCCTTACATGTCTGATTTATCAAAATTTGTGTCTTTAAACAAAATTATCAAAGTTTGTAAATCAAGGTACTACAGTCATTTCATCTAATAGATTTAGTTAGTTTTGTCATTTTATCTTACTTTTCTTCCCTATTAAAATCCGTCTCAAATTATTTGCTTTATTTAAATAATATTTTACTGAGTACTCCGTATGAATTAATTTTCTTATGAGTTGGCTTAGCCAGTTAATAGCTCATTTTAATTTCAATCTTCATATATAAATGGTTATGGGTCTAAGTAAATTGTGAGAAATGGAGTATAGAGATAAATCTAAAGATTCCAAGTTGAAAAATAATTCTTTGTAGGAGAGAACAGCAATACAAGGTGGATAAAATAGTTTGGCAATACCATTTAATGGATACTCGCTCTCTCCGTGTTTAAATAAATGAAACTATTTCGTGGTATACGTATGTCACGTACTTTGACTAATAATATTTTTGATTATTAATAAGTAAAAATTATAACAATGGAATATTAATAAATTATTCATTGAGACAGTTCCAACAAGTACCCACAAGACTACATTTATTCTTATGTATAAATCACAAACATTAGTCAAAGTGAAATAGATTAATAGTGCAAAATCAAAATATTTTATTTATTTAAATACTAAGGGAGTATATAACTTAAAGTATTCATCATAAATTCAAGTTTTTAACCTAAAAATGTCATGTATAAAATAGCCAGTTCAAAAATCGTCCAATTTGTCAAACTATTGTAATTAGTTAATTTGTAACCTGAAAATTAGGGTTTAATTAGAAATCACTACTGCCTATATATCTGTTGTAATTGGTTTATGAAAGTTTGTAATGTCTCATACATCTACACACCTAGCAATTTTGATCATTAAATGATAATTAAACCAAAGTTAGAATAATCGAATTGCAATAAATATTTTAATTTCCAGCTTGGACATAAATTCGTACACAACTTTTTTAAAATTTGACTTATATCCTTCAATATGACATGAACCAAACATTCTTGTGCTTGATCACTTTTTTTTTCGCTGATTAATCACAAAGTAATAAGAATCTTTGAACCACATTTTATGTAAACAATTATTTTTATTCTGAATTTTTAACAATATATGAGTTCGAAAAAAAATACAATTGTGTTTCTTATAAATGAGAATGTGTTTTGCTTCATAGGGATTGTTATGATTCGATATTTCTCATTAAAGTTTATAGCCTTAATTTGACAAGTGAATTAAAATATTGGTAAGTCGTACACCAAAGTTGTTTAAATTGAAATTTGATCAAAACAAATCTATGATTAAACTTGATCTTTCAAACAATCTTACTTGACAATACAGCCTTAAAGTTACTTGATCCACCTAATCCAATTCAGGTCGAACAATTCATCACTTAAACAGGACCTAAACCGAACCATATTTGAACATCCTATAATACTAAAATCACTATAGTGTTTTTCATACATGATACAAATTAGGCAAAAAGAAAAAGTAATTAAAAAGCAACCCACAATTTCATGTGGGAAACTTCGATTGTATGGGGGAACACTTAGACAGTGTATAAGAGGATTACTCCCAAATAATGTCCAATTCCTTATATTTATAGGTGATATATGGAGGTATAATAAAATATGTGTGGAAACTTTTGCACACATGCCTTTTAAATTATCCACATAAATCTTGAATTTTCATGAGCATTCAACAAATCCATGTTCTTTCATAATTCTCTGTCAATTCCTGAATTTACTAAAATTTTCCATAAATTTTTGGAGACCTTAAATCATAATACATGACAATAAAACCTGCAAATTAAAATCAGATAAAAGAAATGTGAAAAGAAACGTGAAGTGTGATAGAAAACACTTGGTTTTTGATAGGATGTAATAAAGCAGTGATCATGAAGGCACTAGACAAAGCCTCCATTTGAAGCAAGCTTTTGTAAAGGTCATTCTTTGATGTAAACCATGTGCAGAAAAGCAATTCAACATAGAATAAAATGAAAAAATGTAAAAGAAAAATAAAAGTGACAAATTAAATCAATTATACACATATTATTCCATCAGATGCTCCCCACAAAGGTATATTTTTTTACCATCGAAATATTAGGTCACGATCAAATATATCACAAGGGTACGTAATTATTATTTTTAATCCATTTTTTTAAAAAGTGACATCGGTCAATTATATTGTGACGAAGCGAGTACAATATTATTTAGCAACAAAGAGAGTATTTACATATAACCTTCTTTCAAAAAAAACTAAAAATTGATCATTATCTTCACTTAATTATGTATTATTAACTTGTAGTCCAGCTCTAAAGTTCTGAGACTCTGCAGGATCATCATACAAGTAGCAAATTTCCCAATTAAATGTTAATTAATTAATACAAGTATGCTTTTGTGATGAAGCATAAAATCAAATTTAGATCTCCACCAATCAGTTTACATTTTTGTTCACTAATCACGTGTAGTACTACATTGATTAACTAGTCTAAATTTTAGATATTATTCCCATATAATACATAAACTTCATTCTATTTAATTTGTAATGTTTTAATTTTCACACTTATTATCAATGTATTACTTTGATCATTAATATCTCTATTCATGTATTAATAAAAACTAATGGGTATAAAAACTACAAGGTATTTTTTCAAAAATTACAGGGTATTAAAATGTTTTATATTTACTGAGACTAATTCAAGCTAACAATCTTGTACAAATTCACATTTATTTTAATAAATAATAGTAAAATTAAATATTGTTAAAATAGGGTATGTATTATGTAAATAATACAAAAGTTAAAATGTCGGGATTAAAAGAAACGGGGAAGCATTAAAGTATAAAAAAAAGGGATGATGGATAGTACATCTCATCTAGCTTAAGCTTTTGGGGTTGACAGATTCCCTCCAATCTCATGGCTTACATCTTTATAAGGTATAAATAATTAACAATAATCATATCTTCTGTTTTCTAGTTTCTTGCTCTTGAAGCATGGAAAGTATGTAATTATAAGTAAGTAATTGCTTATATCATTGGAAAATAAGCACATTAATTACTGGAATGGGCATCACAGGGGAGCTAGTTAGGAGTGTCTTCTCCAAGAGCAGGTCCGTTAAGACTCATGAAACTAATGTAAGTCATCTGTTTCTTAAACACACACTCGAAACCCGGGAATTCAGGGGTTAATGGAAGTATGTTTGTTGGGTACGGTGCTTATACATTGCTATACTTAAATGTTAACTGATATCATTTTTATAGATGAAATTCAATGCTGGAGAAAAGAAAAGATGGAAAACATCAGTAAAGTCATACCTGTGTGGGGATGAATTATTCGACTCGGTTATAGCAGAAGAGGATTCAGCTTCTGTTAAGAGTTCAGAAGCCACAGTTATGCAGATGCTTCCAGAAGATGGTCATTCAACTGAAGACATCCAAAGCCAAGATACATTCGATACCTTCAACCATGATAATACAGACCGAGATCACTATAGTGTTAGTCACAGATCATTCGACGAAGATGCTGCAGCAACCATCATACAGTCAGTGTTTCGCGGCTTTAAGGTAAGTTCAACCTGCTACAGTTTCCTGTCATCAAGACATTACTGTTACCATTAACCGAGTCTAGAGTATGTGGCAAAAGTGAATTTTATGTTTGGCTACTTGTACATGTTTTGTATATGCAGGTCAGGTGTCTGAAGGGGACTGCAGGTTTTCAGAATGACGTCGGTGAGGGAATGAAGAGTCCTAGCAGGGAATCTTTGGCGACATCCATTGAAGTTCAAACTGGGAATTCGACTGGAGTTGTTTCAGTGCAGGAAGAGGATCAATCTGTTTCTACCAAACTTCAGCATAAACCCAAATATTCAGCTTATAAACCTAAGGTTACGAGATTTTAACCCAACTGCATACCTCTGCGTTTACAGAATATTTAATTTATACTTACCACCATGCTGAAAATAAATGGTGTTTTTAGTGTCACGTCAGTACTTTAATTTCACTAATCCAAGAATGGTTCCAAAACTGCATTATATCTTAAGCACTTGAAGATCTTACTTTTTGTTGCACGCGGAATAACAGGAAGATTGGGATGACAGCATACTAGACAGTACCAAATCAAAAATGAGGTATCAGAACAGACAAGAAGCAATGACTCGGCGAGAGAGAGCACTGGCATATGCCTTCTCCCAACAGGTACACTGCCTTCCAATAAGGAATCAATTGTATTTCTATGCACATTACTCCCTCCAACCCACAGTACTAATTTATACATCAAGGATATGTATGCATAAAGATTAAGGAGATTGAAAGATTAGAAATTAAAAAAAAAAAAAAAAAAGGAGTAGGGATCCAAAGGTTGTTATACATATGTCCTGTGTCTTGACTTTCAACGAGAATAATTTGATCTGGTAAGTCATTCATTCAGTTAAGAATCTGCTCAAAGAAGAAGCATACAAAATCTGATGACACTGAACCAAACATGGGTTGGAGCTGGCTTGAACGATGGATGGCCACTCGCCAAGTAGAAGTTTCTCCTGTGGAAGACTACACCAACAAGCAGCTTATCAACAGTGAAGCAGCAATTTCTTCAAAAATAAGACCTTTCCCAAGGAAAAAATTTCTAGACCTGTCATTTGATGAAAAAGAGAGTTGTGGTTCCAATGAGGTACCTATCCCAGTTGAAAATTCATCAAATCCAGAGAGTGAAGAGAAACATGGCCGCGAGTCATCTAAAAATAGGCTGAAGGCTCCAAGAAGTATTTCCAGAAGGAAAACTGCACCAACCTATCACTTGCAGAAAGAGTATTCTAAGGTATCATTTATTTATTCCTAAATCTTAAGCTAATGACACAATTGAGAGACAAATTTTGTTCTTTTTGTTGTGGAGAACAAAGGAATCCCAACCCATAAAGAAATTCTAGGGCGATTTAGCAAAAGGTAACAACAACTATAGCGTCCAACCATGAGAGTGATGGAGGTGAGAATCGAACCTCCAGCCTTTTGGTTGGGAAGCAGGACATTTGATTCTCACATAATAAGACATTCGATTTAAGCCCAAAATATGACATGATTAATTTTGGTTTTGCATTTGGTGATTTTTCAACACTGATTATGTTTGTCCGTCCATTTCAGAAACAGGTAAGCAAGAAAGATGGATCAAAAGAAGCTGAAAAGAACAGAAAGCAAAAGGCCAAGCAATCAAAAAGCAGCAGTGTTTGCAACGATGATGCATCTTGGTTACCATCTGATCATTCTGTGTCTGGTCAGAACTCCAAATCAGATCCCTAAAAAACTGGCAGTAGTGTTTGTGGGTGTGTGTATATCAGAATGCAAGCGTTTTCAAGTATTGTAACTATAGATTAAGTCCTCTTGTAAATTGTACATTGGAAGTATGGTACACTTCTTGCAGTATTGTATAAGAATAGCCAACCATATGGCATGTTCATTTGTGTGCTTTAAACTGATAAATGTCATGCAGTGACTAGGACTAGGGACAGAGAGTTCAGTATTACTCTAAGCAAATAAGACAATAATAAGGTGAGGAAAACTTAACGCGTTTAATCTCAGACAACCTATTAAGATAACTAAAACACATATATGAAAGGAACAGATCGAGTATCTAATTAATTTAACAAACGAAAAAATGCTAACGAACTGAGCTATAAGTTGTTGAAAGTACACCTCTAGAGTTCCAGGTTTTAGTTCCCTGATTTTGAGCCAAGTCAGTGCAGGCAAGACATTTCTGCCTCACAACTAACATGGTTAAGAGAGCAGAAGTTACTGGCTTGGAAACTTTTAAGGGAGAATAAAATCAAACATCAGAAAGCCCTCACAGTATAAGAAAAATATATGACTACAGATTGACAATTTTTTAAATGTCTAAGACGATTAAGAAGAGGAGTGTCGGCAGTAACTCTTTACCCGCTTATTATTGTGCACAACTGCATCATCACAAAATTGATTATCAGTGTATTACAATGGCAGGCTCAAGCAGTTTCTACATATAAAGTCTGGACTCGAATGTGGCAATTGCCAAATTCTTTTTATTCACATATACAGCTTTTAACAAATTCAAGATAACATTACCAATAAATAGAGAAATAAGATACACTCAGGCAGGGAACTAGCCTAATAAGCATCGATAAGAATAGTATGTTTCTGTATACACAACTATTTGTAAAACGGAGATGAATATTCACTTTTACTTAAAGAATGTCTTGAGCCAAAGAAATTCCAACTGGATAGGACCTGTGTATTCTTGTTTTCACTTTCGCAGAAGAAACAGCTTTCACACCAACTGAATCAAGATCATCTACCTTGGAGCTTGTAATTGGTTTCTTCACAACACTTTCAAACATAGTTGAGTCCGTTAAGAATTGCAAGCCCTGCAAAAAAGTGGCGAATTATATCAGAAACGCAAATTCGTCAAAAGAGTACAATGGAAATTCCGAAACTTAACAAACCTTCCGAGAATTGTCTTCGCATGTAACTTTTGGTGGGTCAAGCTTTGATCCGACATCCTACCAAAAGAAGAAGAAAATAAAGATCAAACATTGAAATTGAAATGTGTATTTCTAGTTTAATATAGCTCTGATAAGAATTAAAAAAAAAAAAAAAAAAACACTTCAAATTCCCTCCTGGTGGTTCAAATTTATCATCATGTATGTTGGTGAAGGCCCTATATATTTAAAGCTTAAGTAAATGCAGACCTCTCTGTCAGAAAATATTACTCAAAGGTATGTAAATTGAGCCAATTTGAGACCAAAACCCAGTGTGAAGTTGCATATATAACAAGGAGAACACAGATACATGAGCTACAAGAATGTTGCCATTATTTTGCAGGCACTGAAAGTTAATCCCCCGCCCTCTTCAATTCATAAAGAAGGGAGTTGGCAAAATCAGCCACTTCTAAAGGCAAAAGATCAAAAGGAAAAGGGAGGAACCGTCTAACCTGAACAAGTTTAGCATTCAGTCCTCCTGTGATTCCTCCAGCTACTTGGCATAAATAGTATACACCTGAATTAGTCAAGTCCTGTGGCATAGGAAGAAGACAGGGGCCATAAATTATTCCAGGATCATTAAAAAAAAAAAAAAAATGAAAACAAAAACTAAAGTCAAGCAATTTAACATTAAGCACAGATGCCCGAAATGAGAAATGCACATACCTGCTTACTTTCAAGAAGTTCAAGCTTTCCTTCCTGTCAACATATGAACACAAATTTGCCATGAGATGAAAGCAATTTGGTGGATCACAGGTACACTACAAGATAATATAGTAAATCAAAAGGAAAATGAACAAGTACAATCTGTATTACAGAACTTCTTTAATAAAGTGAAGCGGATTATATAATCACAAAGGTTGGCTATGTTTTGGCAAGCTTTATGCTTACATCTAATTAGAAGTATTACTTCATCATGTCTCATCCAATTCACCAACTTTGCTTATCCATTCCCTTTATACTCTAGAAGTAGAATGTAACTCTTTAGTTGCCCTACTAATTGGTACTCCGTACTTGACAATACTAACTAGTACAGATTGCAGCATTTGTCAGTATATTACATGGAAAATTTCGATGCCACATCCATGAAAAATATACGATCTCATCACATAAAACTTAATATCCCAAAATTTTCAATTTATAGTGTCAGCAGAGCATCCCACATGAATTAAATGCTTTTAAAAATGAGCTGTTCAATCCCATTTTCTGAATCTATGATGTGTTGATTAGTTTAAATTTAGAGATCACAGTTGTTTGAAGTTGCTGGGTGCAGCATTGAAAGATTAGAATTCGAGGAAAGCAATATTGAGTGAGGGTATGTCTAGTCACACAAAGAGAATACAGTATGAAATATAGTGATTATACAAGGGCCTAAAGATTTTAAAGAGCTCCTTCAAGAAACTCAAAAACTTCCAAAAGGGTTATTAAAAATATATATGAGTAAATATAAATCAAACGTGGATATACCAAAGTCATTACATGATTACAAGTCCTCAATTTTACATCCTATCATAAATACAGCATCCAATAAAGTTGTAATCATAAGAAAATTAAATAGAAGATGTTCCGAAATAGCATAGATTCTAACCGATGGATCAGCCTACTTCCAAGTTCCAACACTCCCTCTTAAGACAACACGTGGAAGAATCCCTGTAAATAGGGAGTTTCTCTCCAAGGCACACTCACAGTTGTTTACTTTAGCAAAATTGTTATTATAAAGCCCAATCTTCACAAACATAAACATTATATTTTGCACATGAAAGGTACTGAAACACAAGTACTTTAAACTCTAACCACTTCCCACTAAGATTACCCAAGATGCAACTTTAGAGACAGTTTACTTAAAAAAAAAACAGGTCCGTGACAAAACAGATTTCAATTAGCAAGGTTATCAACTAAAGGAGATCATCTTACCAGTCCATTTACCATCTCCCGGATTGAGTCAATGTCTAAACCAATTTGGGAAATGTTTGACCTGACACCAATTACCTACATATGCACAAAAAGTGAACAGAAAGTAATCATGTGAGCCAAAAGAAATTTATGATGGTCCAGATAACTACAAAATACTTAGTATTTTATAATAAAGTTATCTACTTATAGCCAAATTGAACCATAAAAAAAAATAAAAAAAAATAAAAAAAAAAAAGGTCTAGTTCTCTTCATCTGATTTCACTTATTAAGTCCAAATAAGTTCAAACAAAACAAGTTCCAATAGGTTTAGACAAAATAAGTTTTTTTCCAGAAAACATTGCACACAAATAAGACATTTTAAAGCAAAATAAGTTGAAGAGAACAGAGCCCAAGTCCCAGCAAAACAATGTTATACCCAACAATTGTAATGTTTGAAGGCATTTTGTGTTTATATATCCTCACAATCTTATAATATCAGTCGGGTGAAAACGGGTTCGATCAGGTGGTTTGACTCAGTTTTTTTCGAGCTTATTCAAGTTCAGGAATGAACCAGGAAAAAACGGGTTTTGGATCGTGAAATCTTGTTCATGACCCACTTTTTTCAGGCCATGTCAAATTTTGAATTGGTTTGAGCTACATTACTAAATGAAATAATTTAATTGAAAATCCATACATCATTATGTATTTGACCAGAGATCTCTTTCTGCTCTTCCAGCTTCCAATCCAAGGTCTCCAGCCTTTTTGATAAATGCTTTTTTGTCGTCTACAAGTGCCAGCAAGTAGGAGTTAAAATGAAATTATGGGAAGAAATTCGAAAGCAAATAACTCTAAACTGTCTAAAGTCTAAATATTGACCAAGTTGAGATGAAACTAACTGCCAATGCATCAGTCAAGTTGTCCAGCTGTTTCGAAACATTAGCAACAGCATTTGCCATATTTTTCTTTGTAACAAACATGACATCTGAAAATGACAATCCCTGGAATGATGGCAAAGTACACATTATAGGAGAAAAAGACATAAAAATATCTCAAAAGATATAGAATTTATGAAAGAACTTGAAAACAATTCAAAATAAAGAAAAGATTATCAACTGACACTAAAAGCTCATAAGTTTGACAGCATGGGTAATTAGTCTGATAAACAAGTCTACAGCAAGTAGAAAAACATTATAACAATGAATTATAATGGCATGTAGGATATTGAGTAAAAAATAGACCTTCCACCACATGTAACAGTATCCCACTGCTCCAACAGCAGCAGCTGGCACCAAATAGGAACCATAGCCCCCTAAATTCAGCAAGAAGAAACGAGGGTATAATACATTAGTCGCAGAAAAAGGTGAGATGACATCTTAGGAAATAAAACTCAGAAGAGTATAATTGTATAATAAAGAACCAACTCAGCAATAGCAGTCCAACACTGATACGAAGTGCTTCATTAGCAGAATATGAAGACTCCCTTTCCCCATCCCAGAAATGAAGTAAAATGATACTAATAAAGTCAACATATGACAAAAATGGAAGCATAACTCTGCCACTCTCAGTCCCTCTCAACTAAGGAAACAAATCTCACAGAGCTAATATTTGTCAATAATATTTGAAATAATTGTCTATTAATTATAGGAAGTGGATTAAGGCTATGTTCAGTTCACCTTATCTTTGTTTATCTGATTTGAACTCGTCTTTTTTAACTCTAAGCTAAACTCTTTTTTTTTTTTTTCCGATTAAACTTTGACCTTATATATACGCTAATCCATAAGGAAGAAATATATCAAACGGGGTCTTATTCGAAATGTGTTAAATATGTAACTTTCATAATTTTTTTCATTATGGATTTAAAGATATTTAGCAATGAAAAATCGCATATAAAACGATAAAATAGATCTGAATTTATTTTTTCTGACCTAATCTGAAATAAATAATAAGGTCCTTAAACAAGGTGAACTGAACACAGGCACACAGCCTAAGAAATCAACATAGTGACTGCACCCCAACCCGAATGAGATTATGTGGAAGGCCAATGAAGAAAGGAATAGAAACATTGAACCACATAAAACCTTTAAAGTATGGTCTGACAGCCTGTAGCAACCGATCTAATATTTCTCTATGCTATTATGTACAATGTATAACTATTACTAAGACCACCCATTACTAAACCATGTGTCAACTTTTAATCAAATAAAATCCCGCCTAGACTACTGATGCCATCATCTCTTTTTTCCCCCTAAATTTGTCCTTCCAAGTTCTATGACTGGCAAATTTGCAACTAAAAATAGATGAAATTGTGACAACACGTTTCGCAAATAAAGAGTAACTAACCTCTTTCCAAAAAAAAAAAAAAAATTAATAAAATCATTCAATGCAAGGGCTAACCTAGCCAGTGACTATAATAGGTTGTAATCAAATAACATGAAAATCAAATAAAAGTAGAGAAATGACATTCCAATTGGATGGCTCTCTTTGTTAGAATATATGTTAATATACTCGGTTTTATTGTGTATATCCTTATTTGGAATGTATATATCTAGTGCCTAGTTTGTTTCCTAGATTATAGCTTAATTGATTCCTTGTAATCTTGTATATATACACGTTTGAATCAATGAGAAAGGCAACCAATTATCTCTTGTAGGTGCTTTTCACTTGACATTTCATGTGCAGTTCAACACGTGTATGATAACTTGTTATTTGATATGATTTTAGGGTGTTTTTAAACCTTGTCTACTTGATAAATTTGTATTTTGGTTCACTTTTACTCTATTATTATGCAATTTTTGTGTATCCTATGCTTCACAGGTTGTTAGTGTTTTTGTTGAGATTTTAGGTCCAAAGACGACCAAATGAAGCCTATGGATAATAAACCGAGGTTAGAAGCAAGAAGATGATGGAAAAAAGTTAAGAAAAGGAGCAAAACCAAAGAAAAGGTGAAGAAAAGGGCATAGAAGACCCTGGACGGCCTAAGGGTTTCAAAGCATGCATGACAGTGCAGAGATGCACGTCCATGCAAGACACCCAGCGCATCCGTGCAGAAAGTCTGCACGTCCGTGTAGAATGCCCAGCCCAAATCAGTAGCTACTGATTCTGCAATATAAGGCCTGCACGGCCGTGCTTAAGTTGGCACGTCCGTGCAAAAGAGGTTGCACGTCCGTGCCATACTAGGCACGTCCGTGCAGGATTTCCAGCCCAAAACAATAGCTACTGATCCTGATTCTCTTGCTTTACACGGCCGTGCATAGGGTGGCACGTCCGTGCAGACCTGCAGTCGAGCCCGATTCTTGTTTTCTCTGTCCTTTTTATTTAGGGGTCTTCTAAATACCCCTTTGAGCTCATTTGTACGGCATCAAAGTTTTTAGAGCTTTTCTCTTAGTTTGTAATCTTAGAACATCAAAACTCTCAAATCATTAGTTAGATTTTAATTATTAGCTTGGAAAACTCAATTTCAATCATTGTAGAAGACAAGATTCCACCATTGTTGTTCAAGTTTGAAGCTTCTAGTAACATTCTCTTTCCTTACTCTTCTATCTTCTCTCATCTTAGTTGTTAATTACTTGTTTAATTCTTACATGCTTAGATTGTTAATTAGTTTAATTCCTACTTTGAATTTGTTCATGAATTGCTTAAACCCTTAAATTGCTTTATTTTCCATGGATTGTGAGTAATCTATTTTCTAGGGTAGGGTAAAACCCTCAATGTAGTCGTAAATAATTTGTTGCATGTGCTAATTTGGTAATTATTGGGTGTTAATTAGTTGAGCTTACGTGGTTTCATTATTTAGTTCTTATATATGATCATTGCTAGAACTATTTATCCAACCTTTCTCAACGAAGGATCGTAGCTCCTTTATGCTTTATTTTCCATGGATTGTGAGTAATCTCTTTTCTCATAGTAGTTGGGTGCCTTAGATGATTTCCCCTATTTTATCCCCTTAATTCACCTTGATTGTTGCATGCTAATTGTGATTTGTGATGAAGTTGAGTAGTATAACCCGAGCCCTAGATTCCTCTTAATATTGTTAATCTCCCCTTAGCTTTTAGTTGTTTGAACTAGTATAAGTTACTTAAAACCAAACCAATATCGACTTCATTTAGCTTATTTAAACGGTAGTATCTCGGTGGTTGATTCAACGCCTCTCTTGGGTTCGACTCTTTCTTACCCTTGCTATTAGTTAGTGAGACCAAGATGGGATTTATTTTTGGTAGGCTCGACCAGTGTGTCTTCACATGCATGATCCGCGCAATGCGCATATGAGTGCCTTTGAAGCGTATCATGCGCTATTTACAGGGTACATTGTCTTATGGTTTGCATCTATAAAAATCTTCCATTGATAGACTTATCTCTTATACCGATGCGGACTGGGGAGGATGCCCCGACACCAGGCGATCTACTCAGGTTATTGTGTGTTCATAGGTGATACTACATTATCAAAAATCAAGTGCAGAGGTTGAGTACCGTGGAGTTGCTAATGTAGTTTCGGATTCATGTTCGCCCAGGTTCCATTTTCCTATTCAGAAAGCAACTCTTGTTTACTATGACAATGTGAGTCCCATCTACCTCTCTGGGAATCCCATGCAACATCAACGCACAAAACACATTGAGATGGACATTCATTTTGTTCGTGAGAAAGTCGCTAAAGGCGAGGTACGAGTATTACATATTCCCTCCCGTTATCAGATTGCAAACATCTTTACGAAGGGCCTTCCACGAGTTTTGTTTGATGATTTCCGTGCCAGTCTTAGCGTCCGTGATCCTCCCGCTACGACTGCGGGGGAGTGATAGAATATATGTTAATATATTCGATTTTATAGTGTATATCCTTATTTTGGAATGTATATATCTAGTGCCTAGTTTGTTTCCTAGATTATAGCTTAATTGATTCCTTGTAATCTTGTATATATACACGCTTGAATCAATGAGAAAGACAACTAATTATCTCTTTCACTCTTGCATCAAGAAATTTCCCTTTAATCTAACACAGTGAGAAAGAACTGCTCTGCCAATTGAAGAAATTAAACAAGTCAAGCAGATTATCAGAAGATAGCAAAGAATCATAAAAGAGAACCAACTTACCACTAGAACCAGAGCTCCCATTCATAATAGTAATGGGATTTGATAGGGATAACTCCCTGATCTCCTGAGCCAATTGCCGAACCTGAAGGTAACAAGAACAGCAAGTAAATCACTATAGAAATTTATACGCTATTCAACAGCTCATTGAGTCATTTCCATGGAATTAAATATTATTTGTTGGTGTTCTTTATAGTTTAAATAACCTTCTTTGCAGATGAAAACTGACAAAATTTCAAAAGGAAGCAATTGAAGCCACATGATGCATTGACCAACTTATACAGGCAGTTTACATTGGTGAAAACCAAAATTTTTAATAATCTCTCTTATGTTACAATATTCATTGCATAAAGTTTGGTACTTAGGTGATCCCAAAAGTAAAAAAGGGCCCCCCAAAAAAAGTTACTACCTCAAATCTTATCTACCACTAGTTCTTCCTTCTACCTCATCTTTGGAAAACCAATATTACCTGTGCTGCAAGAAGTGCGGGATCAATTGTGGTTGAAGAGATATCAACATCATTGATGCCTTTTATGAATTCCTGAAGTTGCAGAAGGACATCAGATAATTGTCCATTCTTCAGAATTACTGAACCAGTCAAACCTATTGTGCAAGGAAAAAAATACAAGGCCAAATTAATTAGAATGATTCAAGAAAAACAATTTGAATATTTTTAGTGAAAGTAGTCTTAGCAATGAAAGCAATATGAAAAAGAAGACAAATCTCCTCATGTACAAAAGTCTACACTTAACTTGATCATTAGCTCAAAAAAATAATGCAATACAATGTAAATTTATGATAACATAAATACAAAAGCCAAACAAATACATTCTTCCTTGAATCCTAGACCAGGCCAGAACATGCTTTACATCCTTTAGGCTGATAGCCCTACACATGGATTCTTATGAGTTATTTCACTGCACTAAACAGAAGAAAGAACAATCTGATTTTACTCTATTTCCTACTCACAATCCCAAGCTTCACGCAAGCACCCATCAACAGAGTTGGTGGATCAAACATCAACAACCAAAAAATCATTGCATTGACAAGCATACAGGGCTAGACCATATCAAATCCCCACCAGAAAATGAAAAAAGTGTTTTAATCTGAGGTGTCACTTTACAATGGAGCCAAAAGATCAACTATTCTATAGCTTTTAAATACCATGGACTGTGCCAAAATGACTCATTAAAATGTCTGCATTAATTATTCCGAGTGAAGACTTTTATTAACTTATTAACATTTGGGCCAAGGGTCTTATAGTAAGATTGTTTTTTTTAAAACTCCTTAGTATGCCCTAGACGGCATTGGGGTGATTTTGATGTACTAGTGTCATTCAAATAGCATTATGGCTCCATTTGGATCAATTGGTTTTGGCTAAAATTAAATTGTCTAATCTTAATATCTTATTTTAACCGTAGCAAAAACCTGTAAGACACACACACACACAAACAAACAAACAAACAAAAAAGAGTTGAAACAAAGTAACAAACAAACCCTAACACTACTATACAATGATTACAAAAATATAAGAAAAGGATTAGAAAGAGAGAAGTGATATAGAATGTAAGGTTATTAGAAAGTGGAGCCTCAACAAGGAAAAAAACTTCCCAGTCATCATTCACCATATCTTATTATCTAATCTAACCTACTATGGTTCTCTTTTTCTTGAACTTCTAAATTGTCTCTTGGTAGCATTTACACAATAACAGAGCAAGAGTAATTTTGATAGCCCCCTTTACTTGTAAGGGAAAGTCAATATGCATTTAATTGCAATTATGCCTTTTGCATGGATCTGAGCCAAGCCCTAAGTTTTGTAAGGATCCTCTTAACAAGCTAAGCCCTAAGTCTTGTAAGGGTCCTCTTAATAAGCTAAGCCCTAAGTCTTGTAAGGATCCTCTTAATAAGCTAAGCCCTAAGTCTTGTAAGGATCCTCTTAACGAGATAAGCCCTAAGTCTTGTAAGGGTCCTCTTAATAAGCTAAGCCCTAAGTCTTGTAAGGGTCCTCTTAATAAGCTAAGCCCTAAGTCTTGTAAGGGTCCTCGTAATGAGCTAAGCCCTAAGTCTTGTAAGGGTCCTCGTAATGAGCTAAGCCCTAAGTCTTATAAGGGTCCTCTTAAGGCTTCATACAGTTGTATTAATAGAAAATCCACAAAGCTAAATTGTGAAAGTGAATGTAGACTACATGTGAGTATGTGACATGGCAATGTTTATGTTTAATTTGGCATGTGGAAGTATGCAAAGTATCCATTTCCTCTTTAATGTAAGTTTAGTCACAAAAAACAAGTTAAGAGGATACATGGATGTTTTGGTCTTATTCCCACTGCATGTTTAATAAGAACGATGGAGATTAGGAGGGGCGTTGGAGTGCAAAAAAATTGCTCCCTCCGTTTCAAAAAGTTTATGCTATTTTGATTAAGCATGTTTGCCAATGCATTACTTTGACCATAAATATCTTTAGCTGCATATTAATATTACTACAGTAAATATCTTTAGTTGAATAATGAAACTTTGTTCTTCAACAAAGTACTTTATCTATATTAAATTAGAATTCTAATAAATTTAGGTGCATATTACTGAAGATATTTACTACTCCGTAATTGAAGATTAGCCCAGTGAAGCTTCCTTCTTCGAGAAATTAACTACTAACCATAAAATTAAAGCAACAAACTCACCCACACCCAGAATCCATGATAATCCGGTACTATCTCCATCATTTTCTCCGATTCTACCCCCACCTCAAAGGGCCACAACCACCGACCCCACCCCTGTAGTTCAGCACCTATATTCTCAGCTTTCACTTAATCTAACCACCATGGGTGATAGGTGTTAATCTGATCACTCTAAAAACACAATTATAACCTGGATGGCGTTTTACCCCTAACTGAAATGTAAAAAAAATAAAAATTCCAAAGGGTAAAACGCCAAAGTGGAGGGCGTTTTTGTCTTCTTCATAAAACTCCAACCACGGTGGAGTTTTTGCACAGGGGTAAAACGCCAACCACGCTGGAGTTTTTGCATCGGGTAAAAACTGCTACTTCACTTCAGTCAATTTGGGGTAAAACGCCATCTAGGGTAGCGCTTTACCCCTAACTGAAATGTTTAAAAAAAAAAAATGCCAAAGGGTAAAACGCTACCGATGGCGGATGGCGTTTTACCCTCAAGCTCGGTTTGGTAAATAGTTTTGCCACGCGTCTAATATGGAGTATAGTTTCTTAACGAAGCTTCCTTTGGTAATTTTTCCTTATAACCTTCATACAATAGTTCAAATCTCATAAACCATAAAAAAAACATACACAACATTTCAAAGAAATTGACTTTATTGGAAATAAAACTATGAATTTTATCAAAAACCCAGAAATGAAAACAAGAAACATGGTTGGATTAATAAAGTAATTACAAATTTTAAGATGTGGGGCAATCAGAATAATGAAAATTTGAATTAGGTTTGATAGAACAAAGAAATCTGAAAAGGGGGTAATTCAAAAAGGTTAAGAAAGAGAGAAAGAAGAAACCTGCTCCCAGAAGAATAAGAACTTTGGAAGGGGCAACCCCAGTTTGCATCGCCATCGCCATCGCCGAAATTGAGCTCAGCTTCCACGCATAATCTTGCTGGGGTTGAGAAAACTTGTAATGGCGTTTCGATCACAGCTTCAAGTAGTAAAAGACCAAGCTTTGAAACGAGTTGTTACGACGAATCGATGACATTGCATTGTCCGAACATAAATCTATTTAAAATAATTTTTACTAATTTTTTTTTGTTTTTTTTTATTTTTTTTCCATGCTACATATAGCCCTAAGGCTTATAAATAAGCATCAAATACACTCTTGGAAATTGTATAAAATTAGGATTAATGACAACAACACGCGTAAATCAGTGTAATTAGCGTTTATATTTTTAAGATTTCTTAACTTTATACGATTTTCAAGTATATATTTAATGCTTATATATAACCCTAAGGGTATGTACAACATTTTCCTTAAATTATTTTTATTGAGAATGAAGAGAACAAGTACCATATTTTAAAAAAATTGTGTCATAAACTTATACGGAGTAATTTAAGTTTAAGGAAACTATTTATTGGCTTGGGTGATGCTCAAAATGTTATACGGAGTAATAAATAACTTTTAATCAAACCTTTACAAAATTATCATGCTCAAATTAAGAGGAATTATGTATGTTAAAACCCTTTCAAAATTATCATGCTTAAATTAAGGGTATAAGAGCAACTCCAGTGGTTGGGAAAAGGGACTAGCTTGCAAATATAAAAAAAATCTTAAGTTATTAGCTATACCATTTTTGCACATCTTGTTGATTAGCTTTGTCAAGCAAATAATTAGCCTGGTAAATATTTGTTAGATAAAAATTATTATTAAATTAAAAATAAATTAATTTACAACTAGCTTAATCATTGGAGCAACAAATAGCTAGAATTGTTATACCTTAAGAAGATGATGCGGCATGACAAGCTATTAAAAGAATTAACCAACCATTGTAGTTGCTCTAAGGAATTGTGTACAAGTATATTAAGACCCTTTCAAAATTATTATGCTCAAATTAAGAGTGTAAGGAATTCTGTATAGATATATAAGGACAATACATTAGATATCTTGCTTGAAATGACATATACAATGTACTTTGCATTATTCTGTAACTTTTCGACAGTCTGTTAATTTAGATTCTAAACTGTTTTGGATTTAAATAAAAACAATCTAACAAAACCAATTAACAATTATATTCGACAATAAAAACATTGCTTCTAATATGAAAGGCATATAGATTAAAAATTAGTCACTCGTATATAATCGATCAATAAACACATAGTTGCAAAGTAATAAACAAACAAAATTGATCATTAAAATCGAAAAATTGAAAGAAATACAATAATAATTACTTAAACTCAAGGGACAAAAATACAATGTTCTCAAATTAAAAAAAAAAACATGATCGTGCCTATGACACGTATACAGCTGTGCCCCAACTCTTGGATTTTTCAAAACCCCCTGAATCGCTTTATTTCTATACCGAATTTTTCACTTGTACCCTTACTAGATGAAATCATCTTCTATTTTTAATCTGATTTTGAGTACTTATTTTGCTTAAATATGGGTTTACATTTGTTTTAAATATATTATCAATCGTTATTTAAAGGTTTGTTCGATAAATTTCATGACTTGAAGTCGAGACCAACAAGTATTAATATACAAGTCTTACCATCTTAGCTATTTATTTATTGTGCTTTTCCATCAAAGTATTTTATAGTTAACTTTGATAGGATAATTAGTGTTTACAAATCTTTTTTCAAGTCATGAAATTTCAAGATGATTATCAAAACAGTCGAACATGATTAGCAAACTAAACAAGTACAAACTAACATGTTATAACAATTATAACAAATATTTAAACCACTATAAACTAGGTGTCAATTAAGAAATGATCTTTCATTGGGCTTGTAGGGGTCCAACCCCCGTAATTATTTTAAGAGTTTATGGACATGAGGAATATAGTCAGTATTATTTTATTTTTATTACAAGAATATACAATATTGATATAATGTCTTAGATATATATTCAAACGTTCAATTAGAGGTTAAGTTTCAAACTTTGGCCCTCCATATTTATTGGTCCAAAATCCGCCACTGGTGTCAATCAAATTGTAACATTTAAAAAGATCTAAGAGAGTATACAATTAGTAATTTAGTTTTTTTCATAGGTTTTAATTGTTGATAAAATACGAAATCTATCGTTATTTTGACATATTTCCTCTATTCCAAATTAATGGTAATTTTTAAAAAACGTTATTTTGACATATTTCCTCCATTCCAAATTAATTGACATACTAGATTCTCATTGATAATTTTTGTCAAGAGAAATATAAGAAATTAAACCACATGCTAAACATAATATATTTAGTTTAGAATGGACCTCTTGAATTAAATCAATGCAAACTATATAAATGATATGTCCAATCATCCTCACAAATATAGCCAAAGATGTCATCACAAATCACAAACGTGAGTAGCTATAAACGATTCAATCGTTGAAAATAAAGCATATATGTCCCCGAACAAGCTACCAAAATTTCAACTAAAACCGACCACAAATGACCTTGGAGCGGAGTTTATCTTTGGGATTGCTCCGAGAAAAACGTGAATATAATAATTTTCCCAAAATATATTTTTCTTCACACCATACAATCTTTCGACTAATATCTAGCCGTTGAAAAAAAATATTCGTTTTTGAAATTTAAATTAAGGAAAATTATCATTTTTATAATTTTTTTTTGGCACTATTTTGATCATTTGTATGAAATTTGTACTAAGAATGTTTATGACTCAAATGATTTGGAAGTCCGCAGTGCGAAAAATTTGTCATGCCATGGGCCCTATTTCTGAGATCCATGCATATATTCTTGAATAAATGACCAAAATTTATTTAGGAGTATTAAACTGAAACAAACAATGTAAGGCCTTGTTCACTTCACCGTAAAAAAAAAAAAATCAGTAAAAATTATTTCAATTTAGTAAAAATAATTTCAGTTCAGCAAAAATAAGTAGAAATCAGTAACTTTAAAGAAGAAATATAACAGATTATCAGTAAAAATTATTTCAGTTCAGCAAAAATAATTTCAATTCAATAAAATTAATTTCAATTCAGTAAAAATAATTTAAGTTCAGCATAAATAATTTAAGTTCAGTAAAAATAATTTCAGTTCAACAAAAATAAGGTGAAGTGAACGGGGCCTAAGATTGCACTTTTGCAATCAAACTGTCTACTCAATTTAGTAAAACAACCAACAACTAATAGACAATTAATTGTGTTTACACTCCCTTTTTCCTCCTCTAATCTCAATTCTAATTCTTTTAAAAAAAAAATATCTCAATTCTAAATCCCCAAACAAACATAGAGAACACTAACTATTTCTTTCCTTCCTTGAGTTACTGCCATCTCTCTAACTCTATTTCCTCTAACTTTTCCATAAAACTCCCACCAGATCAGATAAATAAAAATATGGTGAACTAAAAAAGTCCTAACAACCAATTAATCGCGCTTAACAACCAATTAATCGCGCTTACACATCCGTTCTCCCCCCAATACAATTTTTCAACTAATATCTAGCCGTTGAAAATAAATATTCATTTTTGAAATTTAAATTGAGGAAAATTATCATTTTTATATATTTTTTGGCACTATTTTGATCATTTGTATGAAATTTGTACTAAAAATGTGACTCAAATGACTTGAAAGTCCGCAGTGCAAAAAATTGTCATGCCATGGGCCCTATTTCCGAGATCCATGCATATATTCTTGAATAAATGACCAAATTTATTTAGGAGTATTAAACTGAAACAAACAATGTAAGGCCTTGTGCACTTCACCTTTAAAAAAATAATATTCAATAAAAGTAATTTCAATTCACTAAAAATAATTTCAGTTCAGCAAAAATAAGTTCAGTTCAGTAAAAATCAGTAACTTTAAAGAAGAAATATAACAGATTATCAGTAAAAATAATTTCAGTTCAGCAAAAATAATTTCAATTCAGTAAAATTAATTTCAGTTCAGTAAAAATAATTTAAGTTCAGCATAAATAATTTAAGTTCAGTAAAAATAATTTTAGTTCAGCAAAAATAAGGTGAAGTGAACGGGGCCTAAGATTGCACTTTTGCAATCAAACCTGTTTCGGGGTTTTCTGATGTCCTGCGGGAGAGTTACAATTCCGAGACTGGAACCGGACGCCTGTACCTGCAAAATAACGGAGACTCCTGAGAGCTCCGCCTCCAACGGTCAAGTTAGTACCTGATTAAGGAGTAATTAATACGGAAATTAAAGTAATAAGGTCTCTCTAGGTGAGAGTGCTTAGTGTTGGTAATCTGCTTTGTTAGCGAGATCAGCCGGTTATTACTGTGTGTAATTAATGTATTTTTTCTTCGATCCCTCAACTAATGAGGATTAATTAAGTATTTATAGCCTTGAGAAGCGTGCCACTCTCTAGGTTTAAGGTAAACCTAGGGCTGATCGGGCCTCTAGACTGGATTGGGCCTTGATGGCCGGTTTTCCCATTTGGCACGGGTGGACACGTGGCGTGTCTCAATTGGTCCGCAGAGGACGAATCTGTGATTGACACGTGGCAGGCTCCTATTGGCCTACGTGAAGGACACGTGGCGGAACCTGGTTGGTCCACTTGTCAGACGGTGATTGGAGGATAAAAATCCCCTAATCATTTGCCCCTCACAGGTGGCACGTGACTGGTCACGTGTCGCCTGTGACAGGTGTCGCACGATGACAGGCGACGGCCTGCTACAGGTGTCACCTTGCAAACGGCCGAGAGATTTTCCCGCCCAAATTTTGAATTTGTAAGCGACCCTTCGCCTTCTCACTTTGCCTATAAAAGGAAGTGTTGACTTCGGTCATTTTCACATTTGAGAACTTTGCGAGAACATTCGGACCCCTGAACTTGCTCTGACACTTCGGACCTTTTCTGCCTACCGCCTGTTCTGACAAGCCGACTGCACCGGATTTCCAGAACTTCATCAACCGTCACTCGTTCAGGTAACTCAGTTCTCTTACTCTTAATTTTCTTTTTATTTTTTGAAATGGCCCCACGGAAGCACACGACACGACCTAAGTTAGTGATCAGCCGGTCACCGGGGACGGCTGAATCTAGGACTAGGAGTGCCGCCTGCCCTTTTCTGGACCCATCTTTGCCC